CCAACAACCTTTCATTACGTTACAGCCTTATTCTAAAATGGATTAAATACTTTTTTCCCCTCATCAATCTACACACAATACCCCATAATGACGAAGCAAAAACAGATTATTAGACATTTTTGCAAATGTACACACACACACACACACAGTACAAGTCAAAGGTTTGAACACACCTAATCATTTTCTTTATTTTCTACATTGTAGAATAACAGTGAAGACATCAAAACTATGAAATGACACATATGGAATCATGTAGTAACCAAAAAAGTGTTAAACAAATCAAAATTCAGACCCTTTGCTACGAGACTCGAAATTGAGCTTAGGTGCATCCTGTTTCCATTGATCATCCTTGAGATGTTTCTACAGCTTGACTGGAGTCCACCTGTGGTAAATTCAATTGATTGGACATGATTTGGAAAGGCACATACCTGTCTATATAAGGTCCCACAGTTGACAGTGCATGTCAGAGCAAAAACCAAGCCATGAGGTGAAGGAATTGTCCGTAGAGCTCCGAGACAGGATTGTGTCAAGGCACAGAGCTGGGGAAGGGTACCAAAACATTTATGCAGCATTGAAGGTCCCCAAGAACACAGAGGCCTCCACAATTCTTAAATGGAAGAAGTCTGGAACCATCAAGACTCTTCCTAGAGCTGTCTGCCCAGCCAAACTGAGCAATTTGGGAAGAAGGACCTTGGTCAGGGAGGTGACCAAGAACCCGATGGTCACTCTGACAGAGCTCCAGAGTTCCTCTGTGGAGATGGGAGAACCTTCCAGAAGGACAACCATCTCTGCCGAAGTCCACCAATCAGGCCTTTATGGTAAGGGTGGACAGAGGGAAGCCACTCCTCAGTGAAAGGCACATGACAGCCCGCTTGGAGTTTGCCAAAAGGCACCTAAAGGACTCTGACCATGAGAAACAAGATTCTCTGGTCTGATGAAACCAAGATTGAACTCTTTGGCCTGAATGCCAAGCATAACGTCTGGAGGAAACCTGGCACCATCCCTACAGTGAAGCATGGTGGTAGTGGCATCATGCTGTGGGGATGTTTTACAGCGGCAGGGACTGGGAGACGAGTCAGGATCGAGGGAAAGATGAACGGAGCAAAGTACAGAGAGATCCTTGGTGAAAACCTGCTCCAGAGTGCTCAGGACCTCAGACTGGGGCGAAGGTTCACCTTCCAACAGGACAACAACCCTAAGCACACAGCCAAGACAAAGCAGGAGTGGCTTTGGGACAAGTCTCTTAATGTCCTTGAGTGGCCCAACCAGAGCCCGGACTTGAACCCGATCAAACATCTCTGGAGAAACCTGAAAATAGCTGTGCAGCGACGCTCCTCATCCAACCTGACAGAGCTTGAGAGAATCTGCAGAGAAGAATGGGAGAAACTCCCCAAACACAGGTGTGCCAAGCTTGTAGCGTCATACCCAAGAAGACTCAAGGCTGTAATTGATGCCAAAGGTGCTTCAATAAAGTACTGAGTAAAGGGTCTGAATACTTTTAGCTTGCCATTACTGCAACTCCCATACGGACTCGGGAGAGGCAAATCGAGAGCCATGCGTCCTCCAAAACACAACCCTGCCAAGCAGCACTGCTTCTTGACCCGGAAGCCAGCCGCACCAATGTGTCGGAGGAAACACTGTACAACTGGCGACCGAAGTCAACGTGCATGCGCCCGGCCCTCCACAAGGAGTCGCTAGAGCGCGATGGGACAAAGACATCCCGGCGGGCCAAACCCTCTGGACAATTGTCACCGGCTGCGACACAGCCTGGGATCGAACCTGGGTCTGTAGTGACGCTTAGACCACTACGCCACTCGGGAGGCATGTAAATTATTTGGTATTGTGTGTAGATTGATGAGGAACAAAAACAATTGAATCCATTTTAGAAAAAGGCTGTAACATAACAAAATGTGGAAATAGTCAAGGTGTCTGAATACTTTCTGAATGCATATAATATTCTATTGGTTGCAAGAATTTTGTATAATAATTTAGTTCATAAACCATGTGCCATGGAATCGGTACATCGAAAATCTCTTCCCGACTATTTTGCAATTGATATGGCACAGCTGTCAATTTGACGTAAAACAAATGTTTGACTGCCACACAAAATTACTTCTTTAGTTATTTTAGGTTTAAGGAAGTGTGTAGGTCACATTCTTTATCGTAGAGCTATAAAAGTTATGTATTTTGAACCGCCTGCTTGAGACAAATTCAGCGATTGCTTTGCCATGTCTGTGCCGTGAAGCAGTCGAGCTGGATAAATTTTTCTAAGGACTGCCCCTTTGATGTAACGTTGCAATACAAGTTTATTAGACAGAGAACGTTTACATGGTCCTAGGAAGGTCTGGATGGCTGTCTTCTGACTTATAAAACGGTGGGAAATCAATAAAATCATTAATGTAAACATATACGATTTCGGGGACTGTCAGCTTAAGAGGTTATTAAGGATACTATAGTTATCACGTTTCACATTGGATTTATTAACTATAAAAAGGTAAGAAGTGTTTTTATTTTAATTCTGGTGCCGCTCTGCACACACAAGCTTGTTAGCTAGCTGGTCCAACGTTAAGCCAACTCTCTGAAGTTCAAAGTTCCTTTATAGAACCCGCTCCTCAGTAGGTATTATTCTGTGGACATAATTAAGATAATGCATGTCATGACAATAAGATGCGCAGCGCTTCAAGCCAAGCCTCTTCCTCCACCCTCTTTCGCACTCTCTCCACCTTCAAAATTTCAGTAGCATCTCGCGCCCTACACTGATCTATCCAATGCATGTAAATACCTTGCCCGCTCCATAGCAAGCTGCTCTATCCGCACTGATTGGTGAAGTAATTTAACGTCGAGCTAAATGTAAAAATATATATATTTTAGAGGTTTAAAAAGGAACAGAAAGGAACGATATAAACTGTTACTTTTTTTTGGGTCCGAACCGGTTCAGAACTTTATTTGAATGGTTCTGTTCAGAAAATTATTTCAGTTCCAACCCCTGGTGTCCAGGTTTCATGTGACATTTTGAATGACATGTAGATGTTTTGTTGTTTCTAGGTGGTGTTATGGTCTCATTGTGCCTATTTAGACTTTTATTCCTGTAACTACACATGTGAAGCTGCAAGAAAATCACATTTAAATGAATATCAAACCATTTTGACATTTTGACCCTGATGTCACACGTTGGCTCCTTTATTAATAGAAAGGCTCATATTTTTTCCATATATACCACTACAGTATGCAATGTTCACTGCCAATGCTTAATGCAATCATTTTAGGAAGAGGTTTTCATGCTACTGCATGCCTGCCTATGGTTTATGGAAAAAAAGGGCTTTATAAAATACTGTACATTTGTTTGATTGATTACAGATGTTGTATAAACTAATTGCAAGAAGGTAAACAACATTCATATGTAATTATCAATCATGAAGCCAAAAGTCAGAAGTACCCTGTGGGCGTTGTAAGTAAAAGACTAACACCATGGTCGTATTCACTAGGCACCAAACGGAACAAAACGGACTGAAGCAGGGAGGGACTACCTGGGTGTGACCAATAAGAAATACCGATTTACGGTTTCCCGTTGCAAAACATTTCAATTGTGTGCTCTAATGAACATGACCCATTGAGTGAAAACAGGATGAGTCTTACCCATGTGACAAAACAATGGCCCACATCTTCCGGTAGCTGCTCATAGTTCACTAGCTCTTTGAGGAAAATGCTGCAATTAAAACAGCAAAGACAGGGTTAACAATGAGAATACTCACTGGTTATCATAGAACAAGTATTTCCTCAACCAAAATCGCATGAAATAGAACTGATTGGAATTGGTCTCATGCAATAATGTGCACCTGAAACAGAACAACAACATCAACTAATATAACTAGTTGGAATCTCTTTCAAATTAAGGATGTGTCACAGATTACACCCTGTTCCCTATATAGTGCACTACCTTTGACCAGAGCCCTTCCTTGGTCAAAGGTAGTGTACTATATAGGGCATAGGGTGCCATTTGGGACGCATCTCAATTTGAAAGAGATCCCTACCTGTTATGGAAATCATAAATCTCCTGGATGTTGCCGAAGATGATGTGCTCCTTGTTGACGATGCCAGGCGGAATCTCCTCCACCCCACTTGTCAACTCCCACAGGTACGTCTAGACAGGAGGAGGACACAGGAAACTACACATGCTATCATGTCCTACAACCAATCCTCACCAAAAAAATCGACTTCTCTTTCTTGGACTCACACCTGCACTTGTTTTTTCTTCCTGGCACTGATTCTTCTGATAGCAGCTTTTTCGAAGGGTCTACAGGCAATAACTGTGATATGTGTTTGTTTTTTCCTACTAAACTTAGTTGAATGCACTATTTGAGTACATACCAATTCCAAAAGATCCCTGAAATGAAGAAAGTCTCATTGCCAAGCGAAAATGGAAGGGGGAAAAGCTTACCTCTAAACATTCATGCAAGTCCCTGACATAGGCCTTCTCAGTCTGAAGGAGTTCAGCCATTATGAACCTGGATAAATACACACATGCAATATATCAGCAACCAGCAATGACATTGTCTGAGTTTCAAACGACTCCCTATTCCCTATATAGTGCACTACTTTTGACCAGGGCCCATAGGGTTCTGTTCAAAAGTAGTGCACTATAAAGGGAATAGTGTGCCATTTGGGACGAACCCATAGTCTCTTCACAAAGCCACATTCCAAGACTACCAATGACTATATCTAGCCATATCACATGAACTGCACCATGAATTGTGTTTTGTTATTTAGTAAATATATTTTATAAAAAGGTATTTTAAAGTTGTATATACTGTTCATAAGAGAGGGATACAGCAGAGAAAGTGATTGGAGGAATAGGTGATCAAACCACATCATGGAATGTTAAACATAGGCCTATACACCTTTATGAAAAGCCATATTACTACCATAGACTTCACGACTGTGCAACACTTGCTTCCTCCAGCGATTTATCCCTATTCCTCTGTAGTGTCTGTAGTGTGTACTCACTCTTTCTTCCTGGCTGACTTCCTTTTCTCCTCGTTGACCTCGTGGTTGGGGTCGCGGAGCTTCACCTCCCCAGGATCAGTCAGGCTGGCTGGGATGATGTCCAGCTCCAAGTCCTTATTATCCTATCAGATACAGAGGGAGCGCTCAGTACACGTCCCAAATGGCACCCTATTCCCTATGTAGTGCACTACTTTATACCAGAGCCCTAAGGGCCCTGGTCAAAAGTAGTGCACTACATAGGGAATAGGGTGCCATTTGGGATGCAACCCTTCAACACGGTCCATGATGACTCAGCACTTACACATGAAATAGACTTTTCGAACAGACTCTCTTTCAAGTAGAGGAGGAATTGATGCCTGTGTGTCGAGATGAGGACAGGGCTTCAAACTGAGATGTGTTAGGTCTTGCCCCTGGTTTTCTTTGCCCCAAGGCTGTAGAGATACTAGCTACTGTAATTAGCTCGGTGGAAGTCTTCCCTTTGTAAGACAATCACACACACCTTGCTACAGGGTAGGTGACCACTAGGGGAGCTATGACAACAGCAGCAGGTGAAGGACTATACATTCAAGGGAGCACAAATGAGGACTATCATGTTTTACAACATTTGTTTCATTCCATACGTCCTTTGAAAACACACTCATTAGCGATAGAAAGACTAAGCCTAATTAGTGGCCAGGGATTGGTGTTGTGTTGATGAATGAGTGTTCACAGCAGGTGGGGTTAGTCCTTAGCCCCATAGGGGCCCTCCAGGGGGCCTTACCTCGGAGCTGATGCCTAGTGATTTCTCCAGGCTGGAGCGGTACTTCCCCATCCGGAGGGAGAAGTCTCGGTAGCGCTTGTCCACCGTGGTGACCCACTTCTTCAGCTCAGTGACGTGAACATGGCCCTTTTCCACAAAGCTGTCGGCCAGCTGAATGAGGAGCTTCACCTTCTCCTTGGTTTGCTGTAGGAAGCACACAGAGAGATGATGTGTCTAAGTGTGTGTGCGTGAGTTTCCATATGTGTGTGTGTATTATTATACGTGTGTGCATGTGTGTGTGTGTGAGTGTTTCAATCATCTGCAGCCTCAATGTCTAGGCTGACGCTTGAGAGAGTGCAGACATCCCTCAGGAGAGATCTCTAACACTCGCTTGCTGCCTGAACCACTGATAGCTAATGATCTCATTGGGCTGTAGACAGGCAGACACAAGGCAGGCTGCAGTGGAAATGTTTGGCTAATATCATATGCAGGTATAGGGTCAGCAGTAAGTGAGGGAGTCCGAGCAGACTCCGAACAGTAGCTCTAGCGCTGCGTCCCAAATGGCACGCTATTCCAAAAGTAGTGCACTACATAGGGAGTAAGGTAACATTTGGGACACAGACTAGATCTGCTTCCCAGCTCCAGCTCCATACCTTGGCGGACACTCGGAATTCCTCGTACTCCTTCAGCAGTTCATGACTCCTCTCGCAGCTCTCTCCAGGGCAGGTGTGAGTGGAGAGGTAATACTCTCCTGTTTCCTGGATCCAGTCTAAGGCCTGCGGAGAGATACAGGACAGGGGGGGAGTGAAGAGAAGTGAAGAGCTCCCTCTTTCCATATTCCTCTCTCCCTCTCTGCATGTCCTCTATCTTTCATCGGTGGCTGTGCTGGCCATCGAAAACAAACAAAACTCCCACGTATCCCTGGCTGGGTCTAGTCCAGGGCCAGATGTTATGGACATGCAGTATAAACACAGCACTCGGAGTGCTTGGGCTGCGTTCAGGAGAGCTCACCTGTTTGGCACTGCGTTCGAACACCACATACTGCTGGCACTGGTCCAGGCGTCGTTTCTTCATGGTCCAAAAGTGCAGAACCCGGTTCTCCCTCTGGAGCAGCTCACTGAGGATGGCTAGAGAGGAGAGGGAGACCATGGAGCACAGAAAGAAGTTAGCATATTGTCAACACAGTGGTTTCAAACACAACCCACACTAGTCCATATACAAACATAATAAACTTTAGTAAGTTCAACTGAACGTGAAAATAAATATGTACATTTCCTAAAGAAGAGGAGCATTAAAAGAGTTAGTAACAGGAAGGTACAGTGGCTTGCGAAAGTATTCACCCCCCTTGGCATTTTTCCTATTTTGTTGCCTTACAACCTGGAATTAAAATTGAGTTTTGTGGGGTTTGTATCATTTGATTTACACAACATGCCTACCATTTTGAAGATGCAAAATATTTTTTCTTGTGAAACAAACAAGAAATAAGACAAAAAAACTGACAACTTGAGCGTGTATAACTATTCACCCCCCCAAAGTCAATACTTTGTAGAGCCACCTTCTGCAGCAATTACAGCTGGAAGTCTCTTGGGGTATGTCTCTATAAGCTTGGCACATCTAGCCACTGGGATTTTTGCCCATTCTTCAAGGCAAAACTGCTCCAGGTCCTTCAAGTTGGATGGGTTCCGCTGGTGTACAGCAATCTTTAAGTCATACCACAGATTCTCAATTGGATTGAGGTCTGGGCTTTGACTAGGCCATTCCAAGACATTTAAATGTTTCCCTTTAAACCACTCGAGTGTTGCTTTAGCAGTATGCTTAGGGTCATTGTCCTGCTGGAAGGTGAACCTCTGTCCCAGTCTCAAATCTCTGGAAGACTGAAACAGGTTTCCCTCAAGAATTTCCCTGTATTTAGCGCTGTCCATCATTCCTTCAATTCTGACCAGTTTCCCAGTCCCTGTCGATGAAAACATCCCCACAGCATGATGCTGCCACCACCATGCTTCACTGTGGGGATGGTGTTCTTGGGGTGATGAGAGGTGTTGGGTTTGCACCAGACATAGCGTTTTCCTTGATGGCCAAAAAGCTCAATTTTAGTCTCATCTGACCAGAGTACCTTCTTCCACATGTTTGGGGAGTCTCCCACATGCCTTTTGGCGAACACCAAACGTGTTTGCTTAATTTTTTTCATTAAGCAATGGCTTTTTTCTGGCCACTCTTCCGTAAAGCCCAGCTCTGTGGAGTGTATGGCTTAAAGTGGTCCTATGGACAGATACTCCAATCTCCGCTGTGGAGCTTTGTAGCTCCTTCAGGGTTATCTTTGGTGTCTTTGTTGCCTCTCTGATTAATGCCCTCCTTGCCTGGTCCGTGAGTTTTGGTGGGCGGCCTTCTCTTGGCAGGTTTGTTGTGGTGCCATATTCTTTCAATTTTTTAATAATGGATTTAATGATGCTCCGTGGGATGTTCAAAGTTTCTGATATTTTTTTTAGAACCCAACCCTGATCTGTACTTCTCCACAACTTTGTCCCTGACCTGTTTGGAGAGCTCCTTGGTCTTCATGGTGCCGCTCGCTTGGTGGTGTTGCAGACTCTGGGGCCTTTCAGAATAGGTGTATATATACACTGAGATCATGTGACACTTAGATTGCACATAGGTGGACTTTACTAATTATGTGACTTCTGAAGGTAATTGGTTGCACCAGATCTTATTTAGGGGCTTCATAGCAAAGGGGGTGAATACATATGCACGCACCACTTTTCCGTTATTAATTTTTTATAATTTTTTGAAACAAGTTATTTTTTTCATTTCACTTCACCAATTTGAACTATTTTGTGTATGTCCATTACATGACATCCAAATAAAAATCCATTTAAATTACAGGTTGTAATGCAACAAAATAGGAAAAACGGCAAGGGGTATGAAAACTTTTGCAAGGCACTGTATAAGGACTCATGCTCAGTAGTCAATATAAGGCGTCCCAAATGGCACCGATTATTCCATTGATATTATTCCAGCGCTGGTCAAAAGTAGGCTTGCAGTGAGCGTGGGAAATGCACTCCACAAATTAAATATAATTTTTATTGGCTACTATATAGGGAATAGGGTGCCATTTGGGACACACACCATGCTAGTCCAATAGGGCTGTTGTGACTGACCTTTAACCTGCTGCTCGGGTCCTCTGGCGTGGCCTGATGCACCAGGTATACCCACGTTGTTCCTGTGGATATACTTCAGGAATACCTCAGCATTTCTCCTGGCCAACGTGCAAGCCTGGGGCACAAGTAGGGACATTGTCGAACAGGATCATCGCTATGGACGACGTATACACAACTACCATCCAAAATACATTGAAACTGAGGTTAAGATATTGCATGTGTAATATCTTAAGACACCATAGATACATCACTGTCAACATGGTTATTTGTTTTTGGTTGACAACAAGTAAACTGGCATTCACATCATGTCCTGCAAGAGGTGGACATGCATTTCAGCTCTGTAATGGGAAAATCAAAATGAAACCAAACAGTTACTTGTTTCAGAATACAGATGTGTTCTACTGAAGAGAATCAGACAGACAGAATAGCCCCAGTTCAGGGTCTGTGAATATGCAGCAAATTAATGATCAACAGAACATGTCCTGCGTCCCAAATGGCACCCTATTCCCTATAGTGCACTACTTTTGTCCAGAGCCCTATGGGCCCTTATAAAAAGTAAATCAAAAGTAGTGCCCTAGTGGTGTTATTCCATGCAGCACTGGTGTCAGTTTTGGGAGGTTTGTTTTCATCAACCTGGGTGATTCTTAGGAGCCGGGGGAGTAGGGTGAAGTTGCCCCTAGCTATTCTTGGGTCAGCTTTGCATTTCTCCTATATGGGGAAGCTGATCTGTACCTATTGGAAACTTCCTGCTCTTCCTGCTTTACCTAGGTACAAATCTAGGATCAGAATTCCCTCCCCCAATCACACTCTTAACCATTAGTGGGGGGAAATGCATAACTGACCCAAGATTAGCGTCCAGGGGTAACTTCACCCACCCCCAGGAAGGAGCAAACTATTGACGACGTCAGAAACGCTTCAAAAGGGTGAAGAAAATATAAGTCGACATAATTCTGGTTGGAGGCAGAGAGGATGAAAATCTGTCCACGAAAATAAGACCACGAAGTGAGGAATTTTTGTATGTAGGTCAACGAGAGAATGTCGAATTTGGTCAACAAACTGTTAATTTGCTACGTGAGGCTTATTTGATTGAACATACATTTCTTAATGGTTAGGTTGTTACGAATGCACTGATATAAGTGGACGCACATGTTATTTCATCCACTTAAAAAATATATACACTTACGGTCAAAAGTTTTAGAACACCTACTCATTCAAGGGTTTTTCTTTATTTTTTACTATTTTCTACATTGTAGAATAATAGTGAAGACATCAAAACAATGAAATAACACATATGGAATCATGTAGTAACCAAAAAAAGTGTTAAACAAATCAAAATATATTTTATATTTGAGATTCTTCAAATAGCCACCCTTTGCCTTGATGACAGCTTTGCACAATCTTCGCATTCTCTCAACCAGCTTCATGAGATAGTCACCTGGAATGCATTTCAATTAACAGGTGTGCCTTCTTAGTACATTTGTGGAATTTCTTTCCTTCTTAATGTGTTTGCGCCAATCAGTTGTGTTGTGACAAGTTAAGGGGGGGGGGGGGGGGGGGGGGGGGGGGCGCTTTACAGAAGATAGCCCTATTTGGTAAAAGACCAAGTCCATATTATGGCAAGAACAGCTCAAATAAGCTGCAGAGGATAAGTTCATTAGAATTACCAGCCTCAGAAATTGCAGCCCAGATAAATGCTTCACAGAGTTCAAGTAACAAACACATCTCAACATCATCTGATCAGAGGAGACTGTGTGAATCAGGCCTTCATGGTCGAATTACTGCAAAGAAACCACTACTAAAGGACACCATGTCACGATCGTCGTAGGAGTGAGTAGACCAAGGCGCAGCGTGTGAAACAAACATGACTTTAATAGTTAAAGTATACAAAAACAAAACACGACTCGTGAAGTCCACGGTAAACAAATACCGACACGGAACAAAAACCCACAACACCCAAGGGAAAACCTACAGATTAAATATGGCTCCCAATCAGAGACAACCAGCCGACAGCTGACACTCGTTGCCTCTGATTGGGAGTCACACAGGCAGACATAGAAACAGACAACCTAGAACACCCAAACAAAGAAACAGAACACATAGAATGAACACACCCTGGCTCAACATATAGAGTCCCAGAGCCAGGGTGTGACAGTACCCCCCCCCTAAAGGCGCGGACTGCGACCGCGCCTCAACTAAAGCAAAACAGGGGAGGGCTGGGCGGGCATACCTCCTCGGCGGCGGTTCTGCCTCCGGCCTTGACCACCACCCTCCAATGAACCCCCCATAGCGCCCCTGGTCCAGTCTGGCTCCGCTGGCTGGAGCTGACCTGGACGTAGCAGGAGCGGCTAGCTTCAGCTCCGTTGGGGAGCAATAAAGCGGTACCTGATCTGGCACCGATGACCCAGGCACGGGTTGTGCCGGACTGACGACTCGCACCCCTGGCTTGGTGCGAGTGGCAGGAACGAGCCGGGCCGGGCTGGCGACGCGCACCGTAGACTTGGTGCGAGTGGCAGGAACAGGCCGGACCGGGCTGGCGACGCGCACCGTAGACTTGGTGCGAGGAGCAGGGACAGGCCGGGCCGGGCTGGCGACGCACCCCGTAGGCTTGGTGCGTGGAGCAGGGACAGGCCGGGCTGGGCTGACGACGCACACCGTAGGCTTGGTGCGTGGAGCAGGAACAGGCCGGGCAGGGCTGGCGACGCACAACGTAGGCTTGGTGCGTGGAGCAGGAACAGGCCGGACTGGGCTGGCGACGCACACCGTAGGCTTGGTGCGTGGAGCAGGGACAGGCCGGACTGGGCTGGCGACGCACACCGTAGGCTTGGTGCGTGGAGCAGGGACAGGCCGGACTGGGCTGGCGACGCACACCGTAGGCTTGGTGCGTGGAGCAGGAACAGGCCGGACCGTACTGGGAACACACACCACTGGCCTTAAACGGGGATCAGGAACGGGCCGGACCGGACTGGCAATACACCTCAGTACCTCTCGCCGTGCCTCTACAACTTCCTTCCCTCCTCTCGCCAATGGCTCCCGTAACCCGGTGGCCTTCTCTCCTCGTCTCCCATTTCGCCCTGTGGCAGCCTCCTGCTGCCCAGTCGCCCATGCCGTGTGCCCCCCCCTAAAAAATTATTGGGGGTGCCTCTCGTCCGTCCGACGATGGCACTGCTGACGCCGCTGCTCCTCTCTCGCCAGGGCCTTAATCCTACCCCAAGGTCCCTTGCCCCCGAGCATGTCCTCCCAGGACCACACTTTGCCCACCTGGGCCATCGCCAGCCTCTCCATCTCCTTTCCTGGCGCTTCCTCCCATGTCCAGTCTGCCTGCTCCTGGACACGCTGCTTGGTCCTTTTACGGTGGGTTTTTCTGTCACGATCGTCGTAGGAGTGAGTAGACCAAGGCGCAGCGTGTGAAACAAACATGACTTTAATAGTTAAAGTATACAAAAACAAAACACGACTCGTGAAGTCCACGGTAAACAAATACCGACACGGAACAAAAACCCACAACACCCAAGGGAAAACCTACAGATTAAATATGGCTCCCAATCAGAGACAACCAGCCGACAGCTGACACTCGTTGCCTCTGATTGGGAGTCACACAGGCAGACATAGAAACAGACAACCTAGAACACCCAAACAAAGAAACAGAACACATAGAATGAACACACCCTGGCTCAACATATAGAGTCCCAGAGCCAGGGTGTGACACACCAATAATAAGAAGAGACTTGCTTGGGCCAAGAAACACGAGCAATGGACATTAGACCGGTGGAGTCCAAATTGGAGATTTTTGGTTCCAACCGCCGTGTCTTTGTGAGACGCGGTGTGGGTGAATGGATGATATCCGCATGTGTAGTTCCCACCGTAAAGCATGGAGGAGGAGGTGTTATGGTGTAGGAGTGCTTTGCTGATGACACTGTCTGTGATTGATTTAGAATTCAAGGCACACTTAACCAGCATGGTTTGGGCTTAGTGGGACTATTATTTGTTTTTCAACAGGACAATGACCCAACACACCTCCAGGCTGTGTAAGGGCTATTTTACCAAGAAGGAGAGTGATGGAGTGCTGTATCAAATGACCTGGCCTCCACAATCCCCGACCTCAACCCAATTGAGATGGTTTGGGATGAGTCGGACCGCAGAGTGAAGGAAAAGCAGCCAACAAGTGCTCAGCATATGTGGGAACTCCTTCAAGACTGTTGGAAAAGCATTCCAGGTGAAGCTGGTTGAGAGAATGCCAAGAGTGTGCAAAGCTGTCATCAAGGCAAAAGGTGGCTATTTGAAGAATCTCAAATATAAAATATATATTGATTTGTTTAACACTTTTTTGGTTACTACACGATTCCATATGGGTTATTTCATAGTTTTGATGTCTTCACTATTATTCTACAATGTAGAAAATAGTAAAAAATAAAGAAAAACCCTTGAATGAGTAGGTGTTCTAAAACTTTTGACCGGTAGTGTATATAAATATATACTTTATATTGGAGTTGTGCCTGTTGTTCACACGCATATCTGCCCTCTCATTGGCTAGAATTGTCCCATCTTTGAGTACATGTATTTCCATTGTTAGAGCGGTCATTCAACTATCTTGTCAATAGAAAATCTTTGTTGGAGGTAAATACAAACACAGCAATGACGATCTTGTCTGCTTCTCATTCTGTACATTTGGTATTCCGAAAATTAAAGGATAGAGCAGAGCAGAGAGACACAGAAGACGGAAGAAGAAGACAATAAAAAAAGGAGAAGGGAGAGGAATGAAATTTTAGCAACACTAGCTAGTTACTTTTGAAAGAGCTGTTTTAAAAGCCTTTCTAGCTAGCTGGCCCGCCATTAGCTAGCTAATGTATTAGCTAGTTAATGTTGCTCTAGCTATATATTCTGTAACATTAGCTAGTTACAAGTATGCTTTTTATTTATGTCGTCCTTACATAGTTAGTGATACCACTGAATTTTCCCTGGAGTTTTTCCCATTTTGATTCTAGCTAGCTAGCTGGGTCATTATGCCGTTATGCATTTGCCGCGTTTGGGGAAAAGGAACAAAGCGGGGCGGCGACGGTTCTTGATCTTGAGTCATGACCCAGCTAGTGCGCCTACTAACTAGTTAGCTAGCTAGCTACGTTCATCTGTTTGTTTGCTAAGCTTGTAGCTAAATGGGATTGCTAGCTAGCTACATGTTTATCTGTACTGTATACTAGCTAATTGTCTGTCTTGGTTTATTATTTTATTTGCAGACGATCATGATGTACCGCCGCAGACAAAGGAGGCACAGGGAATAGGGCACCATTTGAGACACAACCATGTTGCTCTGCTGTACCTTGAGGAAGGCTTCCTTCTGCTCCAGGTGTTTGCTGATGAGGGGGATGACATGGTCCGTCTCGGCCATGGCTCCAAGCTTGTCATGTCCACCACACCAGTCCTCATCCCTCCTGTACTCCTGCTCCAGACTCTCCAGCACACTGCACACCTGAGGAGGGCACAGGGGTCTCAGTCTTCATGCTAGGTCGGACACAATTTCGAGGTGCCATCACAGAACCGGACATACTACCGATAAGCAACCTTTTCTGTCTTTGAGTTTAACCAAACACAAAACCACACCATCCTTTGTCTTTTTTCAAAAAAAAAATTTAAGGAGTGGGAATTCATATATCTTGTTTATTGAGGACATAGGGACAGGATGATGCAATGGAGAGAGAATGTGTCTCAAGGCTTTAGGCCCTCCAGGCCAACACCACCATTTGTCTTAATGGATGGGAAATGCTTGAGGTGGTTGTTGAGTGATTCAGGGAGCGCTGTGCGGGGGTGGTGTTGACACACACACACCTGCTCTGAGGTCTTGTAGAAGGCCACAGAAGCGTTGACCAGCTTGAGACGATCCTCCATCTTGAGCATGAGCTGCTGCCAGTGCATGGCCACCTTCTCGGCGCAGGCCCGTATGCCGTCCGGGTCAAAATGGCCCGCCTGGAGCATGACCTCAGCCTTCTGCTGCACCTGCAGGGCACTCTGGTGGGTCTTCTGGAGGGAATTGGCATGGAACAGGGACTGAGGGGGCACACAGAGAGAGAGAGAGGTTGTTTAGGGTAAGGGTCAGGGTAAGTGACGGGTCAATGATACATGATGATGTGTTAATTCTAACAGTGTAAATATGACGTTTTTTACAAACTGTACATGTGCCAAGACTTTATACACTGCTCAAAAAAATAAAGGGAACACTAAAATAACACATCCTAGATCCTCTCCTCTTTACATAGTTGAATGTGCTGACAACAAAATCACACAAAAATGATCAATGGAAATCAAATGTATCAACCCATGGAGGTCTGGATTTGGAGTCACCCTCAAAATTAAAGTGGAAAACCACACTACAGGCTGATCCAACTTTGATGTAATGTCCTTAAAACAAGTCAAAATGAGGCTCAGTAGTGTGTGTGGCCTCCACGTGCCTGTATGACCTCCCTACAACGCCTGGGCATGCTCTTGATGAGGTGGCGGATGGTCTCCTGAGGGATCTCCTCCCAGACCTGGACTAAAGCATCCGCCAACTCCTGGACAGTCTGTGGTGCAACGTGGCGTTGGTGGATGGAGCGAGACATGATGTCCCAGATGTACTCAATTGGATTCAGGTCTGGGGAACGGGCGGGCCAGTCCATAGCATCAATGCCTTCCTCTTGCAGGAACTGCTGACACACTCCAGCCACATGAGGTCTAGCATTGTCTTGCATTAGGAGGAACCCAGGGCCAACCGCACCAGCATATGGTCTCACAAGGGGTCTGAGGATCTCATCTCGGTACCTAATGGCAGTCAGGCTACCTCTGGCGAGCACATGGAGGGCTGTGCGGCCCCCCAAAGAAATGCCACCCCACACCATGACTGACCCACCGCCAAACCGGTCATGCTGGAGGATGTTGCAGGCAGCAGAACGTTCTCCACGGCGTCTCCAGACTCTGTCACGTCTGTCACATGTGCTCAGTGTGAACCTGCTTTCATCTGTGAAGAACACAGGGCACCAGTGGCGAATTTGCCAATCTTGGTGTTCTCTGGCAAATGCCAAACGTCCTGCACGGTGTTGGGCTGTAAGCACAACCCCCACCTGTGGACGTCGGGCCCTCATACCACCCTCATGGAGTCTGTTTCTGACCGTTTGAGCAGACACATGCACATTTGTGGCCTGCTGGAGGTCATTTTGCAGGGCTCTGGCAGTGCTCCTCCTGCTCCTCCTTGCACAAAGGCGGAGGTAGCAGTCCTGCTGCTGGGTTGTTGCCCTCCTACGGCCTCCTCCACGTCTCCTGATGTACTGGCCTGTCTCCTGGTAGCGCCTCCATGCTCTGGACACTACGCTGACAGACACAGCAAACCTTCTTGCCACAGCTCGCATTGATGTGCCATCCTGGATGAGCTGGACTACCTGAGCCACTTGTGTGGGTTGTCGACTCCGTCTCATGCTACCACTAGAGTGAAAGCACCGCCAGCATTCAAAAGTGACCAAAACATTAGCCAGGAAGCATAGGAACTGAGAAGTGGTCTGTGGTCACCACCTGCAAAACCAGTCCTTTATTGGGGGTGTCTTGCTAATTGTCTATAATTTCCACCTGTTGTCTATTCCATTTGCACAACAGCATGTGAAATGTATTGTCAACCAGTGTTGCTTCCTAAGTGGACAGTTTGATTTCACAGAAGTGTGATTGACTTGGAGTTACATTGTGTTGTTTAAGTGTTCCCTTTATTTTTTTGAGCAGTGTATATTCTTATGTTTAAATGGGTTTTCTACAATGTTGTTTTTGGGGCTGAACCATAAGCGAGAACAGTATGGTAATGTGTGTGTTAACCCTTGTTTTCTAAAGACTTTATATATGCCATTGACTGTAGTCCAGTCTAGTCTGGTGCTTGCACGGCATTTTGGGAGCCCGGGTTTCCTTTGGACGTCATTACCTGTGTGATTAAAACCTTCCAATAAAAGATGATTTAAAGTTGATGTTTCGTTTTATTAAAAGAAGATGCAAAAATGTGAGAGGCTTAAAGATAAGGGACATTTCATTAGCTACTTATCTGGAGCTGTCTAAAGATACTGTCCCACTAAGAATAAATGCAATTATCTTTCCAAATGGCCTCTCCATGTCTACATCCCAAATGGCACCCTATTCCCTATGAAGGGCACTACTTTTGACCACGGCCCTGGTCAATAGTAGTGCACAGTACCCTAGTCTGCAGACTTCTTCTCTCTTTTTCCTCATCTCATATATACTGAGTGTACAAAATATTAGGAACACCTTCCTAATATTGAGTTGCACCCCCTTTTGCCCTCAGAACAGCCTCAATTCGTCAGAGCATGGACTCTACAAGGTGTCGAAAGCGTTCCACAGGGATGCTGGCCCATGTTGACTCCAATGCTTCCCACAGTTGAGTCAAGTTGGCTGGATGTCCTTTGGGTGGTGGACCATTCTTGATACACATGGGAAACTGTTGAGCGTGAAAAACCCAGCAGTGTCGCAGTTCTTGACACACTCAAACCAGTGGGCCTGGCACCTACTACCATACCCCGTTCAAAGGCACTTCAATCTTTTGTCTTGCCCATTCACCCTCTGAATGGCACACACAATCCATGACTCAATTGTCTCAAGGCTTAACAATCCTTCTTTAATCTGTCTCCTCCCCTTCATCTACACTAATTAAAGTGGATTTAGCAGGTGACATCAATAAGACCTGGTCAGTCTGTCAGGGTTGCCCAACCCTCTTCTACTGTCCTGTAGGTTTTCAGTCTAACCCTAATTTAGCATATCTGATTCAGCTAGTTAAGGTCTTGTTGAGCAGCTAATAATTAGAATCAGGTGTGTTAAATTAGGGTTGGACTGAAAACCCACAGGACGCTAGATCTCCAGGAAGAGGGTTGGGCAGCCCTGGTCTATGTCATGGAAAGAGCAGGTGTTCCTAATGTTTTGTACACTCAGTGTATGTTGTCCTCTAGAAAGTAAATATTAAGTTGTAACAGTGTCAAATGGCTTTTGTTTTTTTGCTTGGCTAGGCTGAGCTACATCACAAAGGAAAAAAAAAATCAGAATTGAACAGAAATGCATTTCAATCTTACAGAATTAAACCCATAGAGGCAAACTACCATGGTGTGCTTTTCTTGCCAGATCCAGGCCTGATTTACAACTATAAATCCACCAGAGAAAGCTAATACAGGAGAAAAGGAAATAAAGCCGTCAAGAGTAATTTAACATTTCTGCACTTACACAAGTTACTACTTAATCAAAAACATTACAATTGATGTATAATCAAATACAAAAAACAGAATATGGAATTTCAATTCTGCATGAGTCCCATTACCTAACTCTAAAAGCCTTCCTAAACTATAACGTAAAGCAGGTCTGCGTCCCAAATGGCTCTCTATTCCCTTTATAGTGCACTACTTTTGACCAGGGCTCATAGGGCTCTGGTCAAAAGTAGTGGACTTTATAGGGAATAGGGTGCCATTTGGGATGCATCCCAAGTTTCTGGTCCACAGCTAATGGAGGGCCAGGGAAATGCTGACTCCTCATGAAAGGATAGGACCAAGAGCCATAAACCTTTCATAAAGCATCAATCTTATAGGAGTATATATCACATAACAGTCACTGGTTCATCTAAAACGCTCTGTCAATGCAGTTACCTTTACAACATCCATTTTGCATCTAAAATGATATAATCAGGTAAATCCAGTCTTAACTCCCTTAAAGGGTAATCCATGATTGCTACATCTTTTGACTTTTACAATTATTGATTCAGATGAGCAAAAAAGATGGTATAATAATATATTATGTATATTAATACAAATACTGGCTATATTGTATGCTCACAAATTCTGAAAATTCTATTATTTTATACTAATACAATTTCGCAGAGAAAGAGATTTTGTTTAATAAGTAATATATTTTTCCTCTCAAAGAGATATGGGGCAAAATGATTGGCACCCCTGTTTTCAATACCTTTCAATACATCACCTTTTGAGGATAACGGCACTGAGCCTTTTTCTGAAGTGTTTTATGAGTTGGAGAACACATTGGTAGGGATCTTAGACCATTCCACCATACAGAATCTTTCCAGATCCTTGATATTCTTCGTCTGCCATCTTCAATTCAAAACCACAGGTTTTCAATGGGGTTCCTGTCCGGAGACTGAGATGGCCATTGCAAAATGTCGATTTTGTGGTCAATTATCAATTTCTTTGTGGATGTTGATGTGTGCTTGGGGTTATTGTCTTGCTGGAAAATCCACTTGCGGCCAAGTTTCAGCCTCCTGCCAGAAGCAACCAAGGTTTTGGATAAAATGCCCTGGAACTGGGTAAAGTTCATGATGCCGTCGACCAGTAACAAGGGCCCCAAGACCAGTGGAAGCAAAATAGCCCCATAACATCAAAGATCGACCATCATATTTTACAGTAGGTATGGGGTTATTTTCTGCTTATGCATCCTTATTTAGACGCCAAACCCACCACTGGTGTGTGTGGCCAAAGAGCTCTATTTTCATCTCATCTGACCATTGCATTGGTTCCAATCCAAGTGCCAATTCTGTTTAGCAAACTCCAGGCTACATTTGTTGGATGACATGAAAATATAGCTCTTTGGCCACACACACACCAGTGGTAGGTTTGGCGTCTAAATAAGGATGCATAAGCAGAAAATAACCCCATACCTACTGTAAAATATGGTGGTGGATGATCAAGGATGCATGGAGGAATGGTCTAAGATCCCTACCAATGTGATCTCCAATCTCATAAAACACTTTAGAAAAAGGCTCAGTGCCGTTATCCTCGAAAGTTGAGGTACTGAAAGGTATTGAAAACAGGGGTGCCATACATTTTGACCCCTATATTTTTGAGAAAAATAGTGTTACTTCTATTTCTCTGAGCAATTGCATTCGTATAAAATAATATAATTGAATATAATTTTTTTTAGCATACAATACAGCTCAGTATTTGTATTATTTATTTTATGCAGTCTTTTTTTCAAATCTTTATTAAGGGTGGCAATAATTTCAGACCTGACTGTATAGTCATTAATTCTTGAAGAATATGTAACTTATAAACTGTCGTGCCCCATCAGAACCCAAAATATATGCTTTTTTTACCTCATCCCTCAGCTGTTAACCAAGAAAAGTGGCCGGTGTGACGCTATCCCAGATTGCCCCTTTCTCTCTATAGGTCCCAATAGAAACCTGATGTCTGGGGAGAGATAGGCCACTGTGGTGGCTTTCTGGGGTAAATACATACATTTGTTTCCCCAAAGAGAGGAAGGGATGGTGATTGCATTAAGAAAACTCCCTCTACATCCTGCACAGTGATTTAATAAAAGTTAGCTAATAGGTTCTTAAAGGGGTTATTTTCATTCCCTCCAAATGGATTCCAGAGCTGTGCTGGACAGGATTCAGCACACATGCACATGCACATGCACACACCCACACAAACACACACACACACACACACACACACACACACACACACAAGTATACACACACAGTCTGGGGTGGTGGTTCTTGGGCTGGAACAGGCCTCCGGATCCAGGCTTCACTACTTGGAGTCAGAGCCACAGCAGAGCCAGATTGTGTGCCAGGTCACCAGTGTGCTGTGTGTGTGTGTGTGCTGATACAGGACTTTACCAAGCAGGCCCATATTTTGTGTGAACATTTGTCGTCATGCTCAGAGCAACAGCTATTTAAAGAGCTGAATGAAAACAAACAGAGCACTGTTTTCCCAGATAGTGTGTGTGTACGGCTGAGCGTGTGTAATGTTGACAGACAATGTTTGTGTGTGTGCATCTGCGTGTGTGTCTAAGGGTATATGGAGTTCACACCAAATATGTGTGTGTTTGTGTTTGCCTGTGTGTGTGTGTGCGCAAATGCAGAGTTTACACTTCGTGCCTGCTTGTGTGTGTATAGTTTCATGACAGCGCACATTGAAGCGATTAGCCTGGTCAGTCAGTCTGGTTTTGGGGAGGGGGAGAGGTTACCTCGATGGCCAGCTGGAACTGTTCATGCTCCCTCTGGAGTTGCTCTGCCTCTGACAGCGAGCTGGCATTCACCATGCTGGCGTTCAGCATGGACTCCCCATTCCGGATCCAGCCCAGGACCTGCAGGGGGACACACAGAGAGGAGAGGAGTTTAGAGTTTACATTGGTACAGTACAGTTAGGTCTAGGCCAGAGGAAGGTGGTGAGGGAGGATGTCTCATAATAATGGCTCAAATAGAATGGTATCAAACCTATGGAAACCATGTGTTTGTTGTGTTGGACACCATTCCATTCATTCCGTTCCAGCCATAACTATGAGCCTGTCCTCCGAACTGGATGGTGTCACGTAACATAATACAGTATTCATAATGTCACTTTTTTATGAGTATGAACATACTCAGACATGTTTTGCCTCAAACAGCAGTTGAAAATGTCAGAGGGACAGACTGAGTCAGACTTAGAAATACCCAAAGTCAGGCTTATGTAATGCATATCTAATGCAATCCCAAAATGAAGCATGAGATCAAACTAGAGGCACAAAGAGCTTTGGTATAGTTGAGCTTCATAAGCACAGCTTGGTGGCATAGTTCAACACAAACAAGGGGATAAACTAGGATTAGCAGTAGTATAATCTTCACGGGCATATTAACTATTAGATATTACATATGTTCCCTTCTGTTCATTTAGAAATCCAATGAGGGATTAGAAACATATGGATCTTTTTTTTCTCTGGCTTCCTAAAACTCAGAGACCGGCTGTGCAGGGGATGTGGCTCATCAGTACCACTCTCTTTCTTTCTACCTCGCACTCTCTTTCTTTCTTTCTTTCTTTCATTTATTGTTATATTTAAATTGACTTTAAGAAGTGATTTGCTACGTGGATGGTCCGGCAGACTTCAGTTTGAGAGAGCGATCCAGCATATTTTATTAATCTGTATTTCCACAGTTTGTATATTTCTTGTATAGTGATGAAGGCACACAGCTAAATGTGCTCTATGTCAAACTGACATTCAGATTGACATTTCCTCAGAGAGCTTTCTCTCTCAGAATGCGTCCCAAATGGCACCTTCCTCCCTACATAATGCACTACTTTTGACCAGAATCCTATGGGCCCTGATCAAAAGTAGTGCACTATATAGGGAATAGGGTAACATATGAGACGCAAGCTCGGTTTGACACAGACAATAATACTTTACTAGCCTGTCTGAGAATGATTAAGTCATCTAGTTTAGTGTTTCTCAATGGCACTGGCATACATTGACTTGACATTTTACTCTAGGCCATACAAGCAGATAAGTCGGCAAAAACATGTTTGAGAGGAGTGAAAAGCTGTCTTCACCAAGCAGCTGATACAAGCCAGTCATTGATCAAATATTGAACCACTGCTGGCAGCCATGCACTCACACTGACTGTTTGATGTAGGGTGTTTTCTGCTGGGTGGATGTGTGTGTGTGTGTGTATTTGCGCGCGTGGGTTTGCGTGTGTGTGTGCGCCTGCAAGCGAGTGAGCATGTGTGTGTGCGCAAGTGTGTGTGTTGGAGACTCTCACCAGCCCAGTTCACCCTCGTTACCCCTATACAATATAAGCGTGTGAGTACACCCACCTGTTTGACCTCTGACTGCAGGTGGCGGAGCTGCAGACACTCCTGCAGTCTCTTCTGGGTCTGGTCAGCGCTGACGTCCAGCTCATGCTGCTTCTCATGGAGGAACTCCAGCAGCTCCTGGACCTGAGTGGCCAGATCCACCTCTTTCTCCCCAGTCAACTCAATGCCTAGAACACCACACAGGACTATGGTCATTACCACATGAAACCATACAGTCACAAATAGTTACATACCATAAATGAAGCTATGCATTTGTCTTGTTTTCTGGCAAACTGGTTGAAACAATGTTGTTTCCATGTTATTTCAACAAAATAATTCAATGTGACGGTGTTGAATTAACGTGGAAAACTGAATGGATTCGCAATCTTTTCGTATTTTTTTCACTGAACTTTTACCCTAAATCCAATGACATGGTTAGCATTACTGTTGACAGCCCTAGTGGCCCAGTTGAAAAGTTGTACACTATACAGGGAATGGGGTGCCATTTGGAATGCAGCCATACAGTTGAGTGTTTCACCTATCACCGTGCAATAGGAGTGACTGAGGACCTACAGTATTTGTAGTTGTTTGTACTTTTTACCCCTTTTTCTCCCCAATTTCACGATATCCAATTGGTGGTTACAGTCTTGTATGTGGGATCAATGAGGAAGGTGATATAAACTGTACCACTAGGTGGAGCTAGTGCACAAGTCCTTCTCCAATGAACACCTGCTATTTTCTATCTGCCGTGTTTTTTCTCAATGAATTAAATCACCCGACTTAAAAAGACAACACTTCACTTCAATGTCTAATTAAATGATTACTGTGATTACCCAAAACCACAGGGTTATCAAGTGTATCTGATGAGAAAAGAAAACAATATTTGTGTTCCAAATGGCACCCTATTCCCTTTATAACGCACTACTTTTGACTAGAGTCATATGCACCCTGGTCAAAAGTAGTGTACTTCAAAAGGAATAGGGCACCATTTGGGACGTAGACATAGTGAGGAGGTGTACCACTCCAAAAAACATCAATAAAAATGTCTATACTGTACAGTATAAAATGTGACCCTACACTGGGCTAATTTCATCTTCCAGGGTGAAATATTGTCGAGAGCCCAGCCCACACCTTTGGAGGGCTTAAGTCTCCATTGGTCAGGACTGAGGGGGATGTCACAGTCCACACAGTCCATGAAGGGCACACGAGGGTGGCCCAGATTGAGTGCTTTTCCCAGAGTGCCATTGGGATGCAGCCCAGGCCTAGTATTAAGCTTCATGCAGTGCAGTGAGGAAGGTAAGAGGATTGTGCTGAGGGGGAAAGAAAGCCTTGCTTTTTAAACCTAATTCCTGACTCCTCTCCCTCTCTCCAGATGGTGAACTCCACAGCTGTCCAGATAAGACTTGGCCCCTCTGAACTGTTACTGCTGCCACCCACCCTCCCTCCCTCCCTCACTGCTATCAGCTCCTTCCACATGAGCCCAAGTCAGGTGGTCGGTGGGTGGACCGCTTCCCTCTCTGAGTTGGCAGGGCAGCAAACCTACCCATTTACTCTCCTGTCCCTCTCTCTGAACCCATTCTACGCCTAGCCCTGTTACATGGCTCTAGACTCTTAATGGCAGAGTTACATACCATGTGAGTTATACAATCTTTAGATCATGTACAATAGAAACATCCAATGACAAGAGTGTCCTTCGGGAGCAAAAGAGATGCAGTAGAGTGTATCCCCTATCACCGTGCAATATGAGTGGCTGTCAGTCTTACCTGAGGCCTGGACCTCCATGATGTACTGGTGAAGGTCCTGTCCCTGTTGCATCACCTCGAAGGTCATGTTGTTCATGGCCAGCTTGCGCTCCGTGTGGCGCTGCAGCCGCTGCTCGGCCAGGGTCAGGTCCTCCGAGTTGAAGTCGTTCACCTGGCGCAGAAGGTCTTCGTTCCACGCATCCAGCTCCGCCGTCACCTGCAGGGAGAGCAGAGGGCAAAGGTCAGAGGTTAACAATGTTGTTAGTGTTACACCTGCATGGCACACCTGGGGCCGTATGTTTCAAGCATCTCAGAGTAGGAGTACTGGTCTAGGATCAGGTCCCCTCTGTCCATGTAATGTTATTCATTATGATCTAAAAGGCTAAACTGATCCTAGATCAGCACTCCTACTCTGAGATGCTTGATACACTGAGAGTCTTATGTCATTAAGTCATTATGTGCAGCTTAGATTATATTGTGAAACAGTAACATAACCAAATCGCTTCCCTTAGGCATACTGTACATTTATAAGAACAGTATATAGCTCTCCCCATATTATAGTTCATAATGACACCATTGCATAACACAAACCCATTGGTAATTCACTGCACGTCTCAGGCCTAGGACATACTAGAGAGCAGCACTGCACTGGGACTACATACACAGTTATCTATCAAAGTCAACTGACATTAGGTCTCTCAAAGCCTTACACTAGGATCATTAGATTACAGTGTGGCCAGCAGATGGACACAGTACACAGTAGCCCCCCCCCCCAATCGACCGGCCACCTGAGCCCCCTCTCCCCCCTTTCCCCTGGGAATGCCTCCCCTCCCCCGTTTCCACCCGTTTTCCACCCACACACCTCGATGGTGTACTGCTCAAAGATGCGTAGCTGCAGGAAGATGTCCAGCTTGATCTTCCTCTCATGGAACAGCTCCTCCATCTGGCCCTGGGCCTCGTCCAGCTGCTGCAGGACACTCTCAATGTGGGCGATGGAGCTGTTGTGGGGCATCTTGTTGGTGGACATGGCAGCGTCCCTGGAGCCCAGAGAGAGAGGGAGAGTGAGAGAGGGAGAGAGAGTGTGAAAAAAGGTGAGAGAGAGAGAGAGAGAGAGAGAGAGAGAGAGAGAGAGAGAGAGAGAGAGAGAGAGACAGAGACAGAGAGAGAGAGAGAGAAAGAGAGAGAGAGAAAGAGAGACAGACAGAGACAGACAGAGAGAGAGAGAGAGAGAGAGAGAGAGAGAGAAACCTGAGCTGTGAGATGGGCAGTAATAAGGCCGCGGCTCAAATGGCACCCTATTATCCCTTTATAAGGCACTAGCTTTGACCAGGGCCGCTAGGACTAGTAGTGCCCTATAGGGAATAGGGTCCTATTTGGGACACCACCCAAATATCATCAACAAAATAGGCGTAAATTGTCATGGTGTTAGTGTTCAATTAGAGAGGTTGTAAAATATGTAATAAACGAAGCAGCTCTATGGATTACCCTAATTGCCCTCACTGTAAAGGCACTGTAGTCCTTTCCTGCAGTCAAATCACCTAGTGTCAGAAATATTTTCACTATTTTCACTATCACCGCTAACTGGCCAATCAGAAATATGTGGTTGCTTCAAGTTGTGTATTTACAATCTTTTATGTATTGCCTTGGAATCAACTCCAATTCCAATGTTAGTCCGTTATAGTTTTTTAAAAGGCTTACAGAAACGAAATAACAAAATGTAGACCTACAGTATCTTTGCTAAATATGTTAACTTGAACCCATTTGCAGTCCACATTGTTCTAAGTAATTGCATGGCTTCAACAGCAAATTAACAACAACAACAAAATGTTGTAAAATGTAATGATGTCATACAATTGCCAGGATAAAAAAGACATTGCTGTTGAACCAGCCTTCGTTATAGTAAGGGAGGGCTTGGGTTTTGAACATATGAAACAAAAAACAAGCAATTTTTACAGGTTACAGATACAGTTACTTCTAAATACGAGGTTCCCCGGTATTCACCGAGGTACTCATCTCTCGTTTCATGATGGGCATGGACACGTAGCCTACATCATGGTAGGGGTTTTACGCACGTCCAAAACGGGACCTGCATGGCTAAAATAATGTAGGCCTTCCTACAATACATAGATAAAAAGGGAATGTCAGCTCACTGTTTCACTCCTCTCATACTTGATATTTTAATAAAGCTTTGGTGATTAAGATTTATTTTCAAGCAGTCTCAGGAGCCAAACCCTTTATCGACAGTCTTGACTACTTCGCGGTTGCATTGGGCAGACAAAAAAAGCCTTAATTGAGAGGAGGGGAGGCTATGCTTAGTATTTAATCAAATAAAACGAAGTGGGAAAAAACATTTTGTTTCTAAATACAAAGTATACAGGCACCAAAAGCACATTGGGCTACTCTTGTTCCATGCGCATATGGGCAATCAGCATCACGGCTGGATAGGCTGTGTTTCAGCTGTGAAAAGTCATGCCATAACCAACTGCGTTACTGCTAAAACCAGCTTTTGGTTGGTCTTAAATATCCCTGTCAGCGCTGCCTGAAATGAGAACTTTGTATCATGTTTTTAAGGAAACACCTCAAATATTTCCACCCCAACCATCTGAGTGCAAGCGAGCTGATATAAGACAGGTAAATTGCCAAACCTGGCGTTAGGGCTGGTAAATGGCAGCGGCAGTTTTTACATGATGAAATTGCAAACTTAACACCAGCCGAAAATAGAGCCCTATATCTGACATGGTACAGGTGTCTTATTTTTGTTAAGCCCATAACCATGTGTGTGAGGTGTATACTTTTGTTTCAAAGTAGATTTGTTTAAGACTACCAAGAAACACTCTGTGTGACCCTGATTTAGCCCACTGCAGTAAGGTTAACACACCTGCCCCTGGAGTGGATTAGCAATACAACACCTATCACAATGTAGTATTGGACTTAGTCTGTGTCCCAAATGGCACCCTATAGGATGCCATTTGGGACTCAGCCTTATAATGCAGCAGTCTATATATGGTCTCTGACACTTTACACTTTCTCCCACACAAGGACCTGTGGCCCATAAAACAAGCGAGTGAGTTTTGATGACTGCAGTGAAATGGCATCATATTTCCATCGCTCTTGACAGTACACTCTTAGAAAAAAGGTGCTATCTACAGTAGAACCTTAAAGGGTTCTTCGGCTGTCCCCATAGGAGAACCCTTTGAAGAACCGTTTTTGGTTCCAGGTAGAACCCTTTTCACAGAGGGTTCTACATGGAACCGAAAAGAGTTCTACCTGGAACCAAAATGGGTTCTCCCATGGGGACAGCTGAATAACCCTTTTGGAACCCTTTTTTCTAAGAGTGTACCGTAAAATCATCTCAAAGTAGGAGTGCTGATCTAGGATCAGGTCCCCCCCATCCATGTAATTTTATTCATAATGGTCTAATAGGCAAAACTGGTGGAGGCCTCTGTAGCACACTCCGGGGTGAAGTTTCCCCTATTCCTAACCTTAACCATTAGTGGGGGAAATGTAAAACTGACCCAAGATCAGCATCTAGGGGCAACTTCACCCTACATGTAGCACATACAACACTGACCTGAGCTGCTGGATGAGGTCCTCTCCCTCCTTGATGACGTTGAGCGTAGCCTCCAGGGTGGCCGTCTGCTGCTGCTGGAACTGCTTGATGAGCTCCTGGACTGACTCCACCGAGTCTGAACACACTTCCTCCAACAGCTCCTTCTGCAGGTCCTCCATCCATGTCCACAACTGGAGGGAGGAATGGAGGGAGAAAGTGAGATGAGAGTGGGTGGAGAAAGAGAGAGTGAGAGTAGGGAGAGAGAGAGAGAGTATGATAGAGTGGAGGGAGAGAGCGAGAGAGAGAGAGACACCCTCTCTATAGAGCTAGTGAGAAGAAGAGATGAGCTAAGGAGCGTCTACGTCTCCGTCTACCCTCCGCGAGCGCGCTGGGACCAGTCTTAGCCCGAGAGAGATGTAACACAACACAAAACAACATACTCACACCTTGTGGGTCAGACTGTAAAGGATACAATGGGTGAAACTTTAAGCAGCAATAGTAATGCATTCACTTAGTAAAATAGACAATAACCTTTCGGTTTTGCTTCATATGTATAATACATATGCAGGAGGAGTACTCAGCATATACTGTATCTCTCTTTAGACTAATTGTTTGACAGTGGGAAATAAATAAATCAATTTCCATCTCCACAATTAGAGAACTGCTCTCAAAACGCACCGAAAATAGACGGACATTTCTCCAAATATACAGATGTTTTAATTTTTCATCCGAAAAAAATTACCCCCACTTTAATATTTCAGTGAGGGAACAGGAGCTTGAATATACAATTACACACATCACCTGAAGCATAATCCAAGTAAATTGGCAGGAGATTGTGTTGAGGGGGAAATGAATCGCAAAGTTCAGCACCTGCTTCATCATAATTTCAGTATCAGCACACACGCTAGCTTGACAAGACTGCATCCCAAATGGAACCCTATTGCCTATTCCCTATATATAGTTAACTACTTTTTACCAGGGCCCATACCCATTTGGGACGCAGACTTTCTCACTATTTGTAGTTAGTTAGAGCTCTTCTGAGATGCACTGTTGAGGTTTTTTCCATTTATATAAAAATTAACTTGCTGGACATAGCTTTGGCCTGCTAGGCCTGCTGTTCCTCAAAGCATATTCATAGGACATTATGGTAAAAGTAATGCTGCTCTGCCCTTCTCTCTCTCTCAGGGTGCAGTGTGTGTGTGTGTGTGCACGCGCACGCGCGCGTGTGAAATGAGTTACACTCATAACAGTTTATCTAGTATGGAGAGTTTAATTATTTTAGCCATGACAATAACAGCATTTTACCCCTAGTGCAGCAAGCCATAAAATGATGCATGTATTTACTGCTTGCTAAGTGTTCCTCCATAGATAATAAAATAATTGGAAGATGGAGATGACTCAAGATGAGATGACTCAAGATGGAGATGACTCAAGATGGAGAGCACTACAACGAGAGCACTACAAGTGCTCTCGTTGTAGTGGGTGCTCAAGTGTTGTTTGAAACACTGCAATGAGGGAGACAAAACAAGCATAGCCTAATCATTGAATCAGATAAGTACAATGATAAGATCTAGTATGACACAATTAACGAACACTAACAGACAAATTGTATTCCAGGAACCACATTCTTAAAGAATGGTGCACAAAAGAACACTTCAGGATACTAATGTCATCATCTCCCTCCAGTGAGATACTGTCTGCATCCCAAATGGCAACCTATTCCCTTTATAGGGCACTCATTTTGACCAGGACCCTATCCATATTCCTATAGGGCTCTGGTCAAAGGTAGTACACTGTATAGGGAATAGGGTGCCATTTGGGACATATCCACTGTCATCATTTTCACTAGAACCAGTACATTTCCAAGTAGTTTTGCTGAGAAAAATGCCTCTCTTCACTCATGATTGTGACTATATACACATACAGAGGGAATTCTCTGTGTTGCAAACGGTTAAGAAAAATCATAAAGCAGAGAGTGGCGTTGCCATCTTGGTGGTTCCCATGGTAACTGCTCCCCATGACTGATCTGAGCTCGCTCAGAATTAAACATGCTTCTCTGTGTGTCTGCTGCTGTAGCTAAAGGATCCTGGCTGTGTTGTGCTGCACTGGGCATGACCAGCACAAACAGCTACCACACATTTACACACAGATTTCACCATAAACCTGAATTAGGATTAGACATAGGATTAGGGTGAAATAGGTTGTGCATAATATTTGTAATCCCAGGTTTGTAATACTGTAATAGAATATACTGTACAAACACACACGGCACACTTACACAGATTTCATCATGAATCTGAATTAAGACATGGGATTAGGGTGAAATAGGTTGTGCTTAATAGTTTTAATCCTGGGTTTGTAATCCTATATTAAATTATAGCACCTACATTTACACTATATTTGACCGAAATTACTAAATGATTAATTATTAAATTACTATAGCTCATTTACACTATATCTGATCAACACTAAAACACCTGCATCGGAATGAATTTGGGGGCGCTCAATGTAAATGTTCCACTCAAAAGGCACTTAGAACATTCTCTGAGAGCATATCAATATTCTATGTTTCATGTGGAGTCCATAGAGTTAAGTATCCTCCTCATACATTTAGTTTGCGTCCCAAATGACACATATTCACTATATAGTGCACTGCATTACTTTTGACCAGGGCCCATAGGGAATAGGTTGCCATTTGGGACACAGCTAGAGTGTGCCAACATCAAGCAGCCTAAACGAACACTTAAATGAGCCGTTTGGACCTCTACAGGTAGTGCACTATGTAGGGAATCGGTTGCCATTTGGGAAAAGCCTTGTCCCAACCATATCTCATAATATTGCCCTGAGTGAACATGTGGCGGACAGAGAGAGGCTTTCCAACAGTCCCTCTCTGTGATTGCTAAATCATGGCTCTGATTGCTTTCCTCATCTGTTTGATGGTGCAGTCCGACCGAGCACTCATGGCTAAGTCCCAAATGGCACTCTATCCCTATAAAGTGCACTACTTTTGACCAGAGCCCATGGTCAAAAGTATGGAAACTGGTGAAAAGTAGTGCGCTATAAAGGGAAATAGGGTGCCATTTGGGATGCACACCATGTCTCCATGTAGACCACAGTCCAGAATGCAAATTAGTCTCTTTCAGCTCACACAGCACAGCAGACTGAAACCTTCTTTCTTTTAGCTAATTGCTGCTTTCTGTTAGTCTGGTAGAAAGTATATTAAACGTAAATCGATATAAAGATAAAACCATAAGAGCGAGCAGAAGGCGGAGGCAGCCGAGGAAAAAGCAGATTAGGAAAATGAAAAAGATTCATACATTAAGGAGGAGTGATTACCCCTTCGTAAATCAAACATGCTCGGCGGAGTGCATCGTTTTCTTTTACGTGAGATGAGAAAATACAATCAACAAAACTTCCCCTTGGAACACCACATCAAGCGAGTAACACTAAGTGGAAAGTTGTCAGTAATTGTCCGTTGAGCCGGTATTGATAGGGATTTGGTGGCATTAGTGAAGCATCTGATGCAGTGAGTGTGCCCTCGGTAATCTGGCTATTTCGTGTCATTAGGCTTTTAAAAAGCAATGCCATCTCCGTAGACCACTACTACTGACCAGCCCTATAAAGTGAGTTTTGAACTGCACTTCATAGGAAAAAGAGTGCAGTTTGGGGTGCATCTTGGTCTCTACATTAATAATGGATTTGGCCTTGGCTTTCAGGATAACAATCAGACTCTAGGAGTCTTATCTCAGGCCATTCTTAGCACAGGTTTGTTTTTTTCTTCAGCGCAAGCTCTCAGAGCCCCTTAAAAGCCCAAAACATAAAGTATTAAAAAAAGACAATGAGTTTCAGTTCTATCAGAGTCCAACAACATTTCCTGGTCTGGTCTACGTCTCAAATGGCACCCTATTCCCTCCATAGTGCACTACGTTTGACCAGGGCCTATATGGTCAACCATAGGACTGGTCAAAAGTACGATCTTATAAAAAATTGTGCTATCTAGAACCTAAAGGGATTCTTCGGCTGTCCCCATAGGAGAACCCTTTGAAGAACCCTTTTTGGTTCCAGGAAGAACCCTTTTGGTTCCAGGTAGAACCTATTTTGGTTCCACGTAGAGGGTTCTACATGGAACTCAAAAGGGTTCTCCTATGGGGACAGTTGAATAACCTTTTTGGAACCCTTTTTTGTAAGAGTGTAGTGCACTATATAGGGGATAGGGTGCCATGTAGGATGCAGCCCTGAGGTGTCTAAGTGGAGGCCACTTTTTCGGTGTGGCATTTTGGGTGTGACCACTACTTCATATCCAGCTCTGGTGTCCCACGGCTTTACCACTTCCCTTTGCTTAACTCCAATAAAAATATCTACTGTTGACTGCCAGAGTGATCCCACGGATCCCATCATTATCCATAAGCAATCTACCATACTGCATCATGTAGACACGAGAAAGCCAGTCAGGTAAGCTGAACCTATACTGAGAACACAGTGAATAACACAAATCGGCTTTGGAAAAGACTGCAGAGTGGGCTGTTGGAAATAGTACAAGGTGGAGACTTAAGAATTGTAGCAAACAGTTTAATATCAGCCGTATACAGTGGCTTGCGAAAGTATTCACCCCCCTTGGCATTCTCCTATTTTGTTGCCTTGCAACCTGGAATTAAAATTGATTTTTGTGGGGTTTATATCATTTGATTTACACAACATGCCTACCACTTCGAAGATGCAAAATATTTTTTATTGTGAAACAAACAAGAAATAAGACAAAAAAACTGAAAACTTGAGCGTGCATAACTATTCACCAACCCCCCCCCTCCCCCCCACCCCCCAAAGTCAATACTTTGTAGAGCCACCTTTTGCAGCAATTACAGCTGCAAGTCTCTTGGGGTATGTCTCTATAAGCTTGGCACATCTAGCCACTGGGATTTTTGCCCATTCTTCAAGGCAAAACTGCTCCAGCTCCTTCAAGTTGGATGGGTTCCGCTGGTGTACAGCAATCTTTAAGTCATACCACAGATTCTCAATTGGATTGAGGTCTGGGCTTTGACTAGGCCATTCCAAGACATTTAAATGTTTCCCCTTAAACCACTCGAGTGTTGCTTTAGCAGTATGGTTAGGGTCATTGTCCTGCTGGAAGGTGAACCTCGTCCCAGTCTCAAATCTCTGGAAGACTGAAACAGGTTTCCCTCAAGGTGGTGCTTCCACCACCATGCTTCACTGTGTGGATGGTGTTCTCGGGGTGATGAGAGGTGTTGGGTTTGCGCCAGACATAGCATTTTCCTTGATGGCCAAAAAGCTCAATTTTAGTTTCATCTGACCAGAGTACCTTCTTCCATATGTTTGGGGAGTCTCTCACATGCCTTTTGGCTAACACCAAACGTGTTTGCTTATTTTTTTTCTTTAAGCAATGGCTTTTTTCTGGCCACTCTTCTGTGAAGCCCAGCTCTGTGGAGTGTACGGCTTAAAGTGGTCCTATGGACAGATACTCCAATCTCCGCTGTGGAGCTTTGCAGCTCCTTCAGGGTTATCTTTGGTCTCTTTGTTGCCTCTCTGATTAATGCCCTCCTTGCCTGGTCCATGAGTTTTGGTGGGCGGCCCTCTCTTGGCAGGTTTGTTGTGGTGCCATATTATTTCAATTTTTAATAATGGATGTAATGGTGCTCCGTGGGATGTTCAAAGTTTCTGATATTTTTTGATAACCCAACCCTGATCTGTACTTCTCCACAACTTTGTCCCTGACCTGTTTGTAGAGCTCTTTGGTCTTCATGGTGCCGATTGCTTGGTGGTGCCCCTTGCTTAGTGGTGTTGCAGACTCCGGGTGTCACGCCCTGGCTCTGGGACTCTGTTATGTTGAGCCAGGGTGTGTTGTTTCTATGTGTTTTGTGTTCTAGGTTGATTATCTAGCTCATGTGTTTCTGTGTTGGCCGGGGTGGTTCTCAATCAGAGGCAACGAGTATCAGCTGTTGCTTGTTGTCTCTGATTGGGAAGAATACTTAGGCAGCCTGTTTTCCACAGTGTTTTGTGGGATCTTGTTCCGTGTATGGTTTGTGTCTGTTACCTAGGACTTCACGTATCGTTTTGTTGTTTTGTTTCGTGTGGTGAATCAAATTAAAGGTATGTTCACTCATCACGCTGCGCATTGGTCCACTTCCTCCAACGATCGTGACACCGGGGCCATTCAGAACAGGTGTATATGTACTGAGATCATGTGACAGATCATGTGACACTTAGATTGCACATAGGTGGACTTTATTTAACTCATTATGTGACTTCTGAAGGTAATTGGTTGCACCAGATCTTATTTAGGGGCTTCATAGCAAAGGGGGTGAATACATATGCACGCACCACTTTTCCGTTATTTATTTTTAAATGATTTTTTTCATTTCACTTCACCAATTTGGACTATTTTGTGTATGTCCATTACATGAAATCCAAATAAAAATCCATTTAAATTACAGGTTATAATGCAACAAAATAGGAAAAACGCTAAGGGGGATGAATACTTTTGCAAGGCACTGTATACTGTATATTCCCCATAAAATGTGTGATTTTCAAATCATTGCCATTTGTATTCCCATTAGTGAGACTGTGCCGCTAAGATACTTCACACAATCACTCTCCTGAGTCACCCTCTGCTCTACACTGTGTGGAACAGCTGTGACTCCTAAAACCACACTCCCACCTCCATATATAACTGGGACTAGCTCACGAATTATGTGTATGTATGTGTGTGTGTAGCTAGTGAATGATGGCTCCATTAGGAGAACTGAACCAAACAAATATCCTCCACACTGCTCCAAAGTTCCACAGATGAATCATGGTACTCCGCAGCACAGGATAATGACTCTGGCTTGGGAATGGTGGGTAGGATGGATCAGTCAAATCAGAAGACCTCAATAAGTAGTGGTCAGCCAGCCCAGCTTACACCCTATACATCTTCCTCCTGTCCCAGTGCTCAAAGGAGTGCCTCAATAAGGGGATAGAAAATGGTACCATATTACTTTTAAAGTGCACTACTTTTGACCAGGGCCCATAGGTAGTGCACTACACGCTGAAGAGCTGCTAGGGGAAGAAGGTAGTACAACACGCTGTCTAGGGTAATCTATCACATCCATCCCCTTTGTTCAGTAATATACACTACCAGTCAAAAGTTTGGACACACCTACTCATTCAAGGGTTTTTCTATATTTTTACAATTTTCTACATTGTAGAATAATAGTGAAGACATCAAAGCTATTAAATAACACATATGGAATCATGTAGTAACCCAAAAAGTGTTAAACAAATCAAAATATATTTGAGATTCTTCAAAATAGCCCCCCTTTGCATTGATGACAGCTTTGCACACTCTTGGAATTCTCTCAACCAGCTTCATGAGGAATGCTTTTCCAACAGTCTTGAAGAAGTTCCCACATATGCTGAGCACTTGTTGGCTGCTTTTCCTTCACTCTGCGGTCCAACTCATCCCAAACCATCTCAATTGGGTTGAGGTCGGGGGATTGTGGAGGCCAGGTCATCTGATGCAGCACTCCATCACACTCCTTATTGGTCAAATCACCCTTAAACAGCCTGGAGGTGTGTTTTGGGTCATTGGCCTGTTGAAAAACAAATGATAGTCCCACTAAGCGCAAACCAGGTGGGATGGTGTGTCGCTGCAGAATACTGTGGTAGCGATGCTCGTTAAGTGTGCCTTGAATTCTAAAATAAATCACAGACAGTGTCACCAGCAAAGCACCCCCACACCATCACACCTCCTCCTCCATGCTTCCTGGTGGGAACCATACATGCGGAGATCATCCGTTCACCTACTCTGCGTCTCACAAAGACACAGTGGTTGGAACCAAAAATCTCAAATTTGGACTCATCAGACCAAAGGACAGATTTCCACCGGTCTAATGTCAATTGCTTGTGTTTCTTGGCCCAAGCAAGTCTCTTCTTCTTATTGGTGTCCTTTAGTAGTGGTTTCTTTGCAGCAATTCGACCATGAAGGCCTGATTCATGCAGCCTCCTCTGAACAGTTGATGTTGAGATGTGTCTGTTACTTGAACTCTGTGAAGCGTTTATTTGGGCTGCAATCTGAGGTGCACTTAACTCTAATGAACTTATCCTCTGCAGCAGAGGTAACTCTGAGTCTTCATTTCCTGTGGCAGTCCTCATGAGAGCCAGTTTCATCATAGCGCTTGATGGTTTTTGTGACTGCACTTGAAGAAACTTTCAAAGTTCTTGACATTTTCTGGATTGACTGACCTTCATGTCTTAAAGTAATGATGGACTGTAATTTCTCTTAGCTTATTTGAGCTGTTTTTGCCATAATATGGACTTGGTCTTTTACCAAATAGGGCTATCTTCTGTATACCACCCCTACCTTGTCACAACACAACTGATTGGCTCAAACACATTAAGAAGGAAAGAAATTCCACAAATTAACTTTTAACAAGGCACACCTTTTAATTGAAACACATTCCAGGTGGCTACCTCATGAAGCTGGTTGAGAGAATGCCAAGAGTGTGCAAAGCTGTCATCAAGGCAAAGGGTGGCTACTTTGAAAAATCTCAAATCTCAAATAAATTAGTTTAACACTTTTTTGGTTACTACATGATTCCATGTGTGTTATTTCATAGTTTTGATGTCTTCACTATTGTTCTACAATGTAGAAAATAGTAAAAATAAAGAAAAACCCTGGAATAAGTAGGTGTGTCCAAACTTTTGACTGGTACTGTATATATAAATATATATACAGAGAGAGAGAGAGAGAGAGAGAGAGAGAGAGAGAGAGAGAGAGAGAGAGAGAGAGAGAGAGAGAGAGAGAGAGGGAGAGAGAGAGAGAGATCTGTGAATTTCTGAACATCACAAAATCAGGTTCAAAGTCAAAAATAACATTTGGACACTATGATTTTAAAGAGTTTAAGATTAGGGGCCATTAGTATAGGGGAGATGATGGTAGGTCTGTGAAGTAGCCCTCACAGAGACAGAATTTGCATCCCGATTCGCACCCTATTCCTTTTATAGTGCACTACTTTTGACCAGGGATGTGGGCTATTGTAGTGCACTATATAGGGAATAGGGTGCCCAGGTGGGCCTCTCACATCTGGCATAGATCAGGCTGCGCTAACTAATTTGGGTGCGATCCTCTGTGAATGACTGGTATGTATGCCCTGTCTGTCTGTTTGTCTGTCTGTCTGTCTGCAGTGATCAGTGACATAAACCAAGCCACCCCAAGCCTCAACCCTGTGACAAGTCACTGCTCTTAAAGAAAGGTAGAGTGATCCATCATGCAGGTCAGGTCAGGGCTCCTACATCTTTAGTGTGGGTGCAGAAGGAAACAGATAGCGACTGCGTCCTACCACATCCAATCCCATTCTATTGTCCCATACTATGCATACATAAAAAATGGGTCACTGAACCCCAGAACTTCCCTGACATAGAACGTGATCCATCCTGCAGGTCATGCAGGTCAGGGGTCAAAGGTCTTACCTCCTTGGTGTGGGTGTGGAAGGAGACAGACATGTCCAGCAGCAGTTTCCTCTGCTCCACCCGCCGGACAAAGTCTTGGATCCTGACCTCCAGGTGCCGCGCTGCTTTATAGATCTCCTCCGGGTCACATTCCCCAGTCTGGGCCAGCTGCTCGGCCGCCTCCAGGAGCTTGTCTGCGTTGGTGTAGGTGTTCTGGTACCCAGAGAAGACAAGGGCAGCTCAATTAGATGACTGCAACATAAGTATGTAGAGAACTGTGTCTGTAAGATGCTGACTGCTGCAACTCTGGTGTCTCCAAGTTAGTCGAAAATTGTGTCTGTCTGCACTCTGTCGCTGCATGCTTTGACTGACTACTGCACTCCTGTCTTTCTCTGTCCTCCACCGCCACAGACAGACAAGACCTCTCTCTCCGATGGGTGCCTCCGCTACTAAATTGCCCCAAAACTGTGCAGAGTGGCAAGGTAAATCGCTGGCTATCCCTACGTGGTAATCCCACATCCTGGCAAGTGTTGCCTCTGGATCAACACGGCAGTAGGGACTAAGTCAGTAGAGCACCAGCCATCAGGGCAGGACAGATTAATGCCTGGCTAGCATGTAGCGTGTAACATGTAGCACCGTGCTGAGCTGATGAGGATGGGATGACCCAAAGTCTCAGGAACTGGTAACCTCATGTAAGGTTTGGCAGTAGGTCACATTCACTGGGTCAAATGGTACTCTTTTTAGTGTGCATAGGGCTCTGGTCAAAAGTAGTGCACTATATAGGATATAGGCCTTTGACCAGGGTGCATAGGCTCTGGTCAAAATGTATGCACTATAAAGGTAGTAGAGTGCCATTTGGGATGCATTCTGGGCCATTTAGGAATAAAGATTCCATATGGGGATACTTTTAGTGCTTCAACGTGCTAATGCGGACCCTTACCTAGTGACACGCACCCTGGAGAAGATTTAACACTGTGGGCCTCATCATAATCACAGTCATGTAATTAAAATCCTATCTGTGTCCCTACCTACTGTGTCTGTCGGCTCATTTACACTATGTATGGTGGGGGTCTAACCTTCGATTATCTACAGTGTGGCGCCCCGGTGATGTGGGCGGGGAAAGCCACTGTTTGGAGCGTGAGCCACGCCCCACAACCAGCATTGTAGCCGGCAGCAAGCTAGGCTGCAGGGCTACGCCTACACCTGAGGCCACTCGGCCTCGTTAGGCTGCAACGCAGCTGAGGAAATTTAAGGGCCTGCTTTAGTTCAGCACGAGGGAACTCCTAGCTGGACGCTGAGCGCTATAGACATCTGTTTGAAGCCCTGGACATTGTGGTCGCCAAAGGAAGAAGTGAATGGACTACAAGTGAAGGTGGTAAGCTGGGTAGCAGCTCATCTAGTTTTCTTTAAAGTTAAGACTAACTCTGGGTTCAGTTAAGGTGAGTGGGAGAGTGTTTTGTGTTCAGTTAATGTTTGAGAACCAGCTTTGTGAACCTTTAATTTTGAATAAATATGCCAGCCTAGCCTGGTTTAAACTGTGCCCCTGTGTGTTGGACTTCTGTCATTGTTCCTCCTCGATGCCTTCCTACCAGCCATGCCTAGTGAGTCGTTACAACAGTTAAGACTTTTTTAGACAATCAAAGAATTCTGAACTGGTCATCTTTTTTTTTACCCCTTCAAAATATCTTAATCCATATTTTTTCAAATAAACTGGACAAGGTTTAACAGAGCGCTAACATTTAACATTTGAAATCTATGCTTTGATTGATTGTAAAACAAAGATTAAAAATAGGTGACTTAGGGCATGCTGTGGAGGTGGATTGATTCGCCTGTACTGTCAGGTTTACAGTGCCTTGCAAAAGTATTCATCCCCCTTGGCATTTTTCCTATTTTGTTGCATTACAACCTGTAATTTAAATTGATTTTTATTTGGATTTCATGTAATGGACATACACAAAATAGTCCAAATTGGTGAAGTGAAATGAAAAAAATAACTTGTTTCAAAGAATTCTACAAAATAATAGAAAAGTGGTGCGTGCATATGTATTCACCCTCTTTCCTATGAAGCCCCTAAATAAGATCTGGTGCAACCAATTACCTTCAAAAGTCACATAATTAGTTAGATTGCACACAGGTGGACTTTATTTAAGTGTCACATGATCTGTCACATGATCTCAGTGTATTATTACACCTGTTCTGAAAGGCCCCAGAGTCTGCAACACCACTAAGCAAGGGGCACCACCAAGCAAGCGGCACCATGAAGACCAAAGAGCTCTACAAACAGGTCAGGGACAAAGTTGTGGAGAAGTACAGATCAGGGTTGGGTTATCAAAAAATATCAGAAACTTTGAACATCCCACGGAGCACCATTACATCCATTATTAAAAATTGAAAGAATATGGCACCACAACAAACCTGCCAAGAGAGGGCCACCCACCAAAACTCACGGACCAGGCAAGGAGGGCATTAATCAGAGAGGCAACAAAGAGACCAAAGATAACCCTGAAGGAGCTGCAAAGCTCCACAGCGGAGATTGGAGTATCTGTCCATATGACCACTTTAAGCCACACACTCCACAGAGCTGAGCTTTACGGAAGAGTGGCCAGAAAAAAGCCATTGCTTAAAGAAAAAAATATGCAAACACGTTTGATGTTCACCAAAAGGCATGTGGGAGACTCCCCAAACATATGGAAGAAGGTACTCAGGTCAGATGAGACTAAAATTGAGCTTTTTGGCCATCAAGGAAAACGCTATGTCTGGCGCAAACCCAACACCTCTCATTACCCCGAGAACATCATCCCCACAGTGAAGCGTGGGGGTGGCAGCATCATGCTGTGGGGATGTTTTTCATCGGCAGGGACTGATAATTGAAGGAATGATGGATGGCGCTAAATACAGGGACATTCTTGAGGGAAACCTGTTTCAGTCTTCCAGAGATTTGAGACTGGGACGGAGGTTCACCTTCCAGCAGGAAAATGACCCTAAGCATACTGCTAAAGCAACACTCGCGTGGTTTAAGGGGAAACATTTAAATGTCTTTGAATGGCCTAGTCAAAGCCCAGACCTCAATCCAATTGAGAATCTGTGGTATGACTTAAAGATTGCTGTACACCAGCGGAACCCATCCAACTTGAAGGAGCTGGAGCAGTTTTGCCTTGAAGAATGGGCAAAAATCCCAGTGGCTAGATATGCCAAGCTTATAGAGACATACCCCAAGAGTCTTGAAGCTGTAATTGCTGCAAAGGTGGCTCTACAAAGTAATGACTTTGGGGGGGTGAATAGTTATGCACGCTCAAGTTGTCTTTTTTTTTGTCTTATTTCTTGTTTGTTTCACAAGAAAACATATTTTGCATCTTCAAAGTGGTAGGCATGTTGTGTAAATCAAATGATATAAACCCCGCAAAAATCCATTTTAATTCCAGGTTGTAAGGCAACAAAATAGGAAAAATGCCAAGGGAGGTGAATACTTTCTCAAGCCACTGTATGTGAGTATTGTAGAGCAGAATACCCCTTCCTCCCTCCTAGGATTGCTATAACAGTTTTACACACACTGATCCCTTCTCTGTGTCACATTGGCATGAGCTCTGGCCTAAATCTCATTTATTCATAGTGAATAGAGAGGATCAGCTTATTATACGGGGTACAATGGAGGGTCTATTCAAAGGACATGGATACAGTAAGCAGGATTACAGTTAAAGGGCTCTTATGTACTTATCTACTGGTGTATAGTAAAGGCTGTATTAAAACCCACACATCTACATTTTCAATAGTACACGCAAATTCCAGAACAGCTATGAATTATATCACATTCTCATTTTTACATTTACATTTTAGTCATTTAGCAGACGCTCTTATCCAGAGCAACTTACAGTTAGTGCATACATTATTTTTTATACCCCCCGTGGGAATTGAACCCACAGCCCTGGTGTTGCAAACACCATGCTCTACCAACTGAGCTACATCCCTGCCGGCCATTCCCTCCCCTACCCTGGACGACGCTGGGCCAATTGTGCGCCGCCCCATGGGTCTCCCGGTCGCGGCCAGCTACGACAGAGCCTGGATTCGAACCAGGATCTCTAGTGGCAGTGACTTAGATCACACAACCACTCCTCCCACACAAATAGACATACACTACCGTTCAAAAGTTTGGGGTCACTTAGAAATGTCCTTGTTTTCAAAAGAAAAGCAATTTTTTTGTCCATGAAAATAACATCAAATTGATCAGAAATACAGTGTAGACATTGTTAATGTTGTAAATGTCTATTGTAGCTGGAAACTGCTGATTTTTTTTAATGGAATATCTACATAGGCGTACAGAGGCCCATTATCAGCAACCATCAGTCCTGTGTTCCAATGGCACGTTGTGTTTGCTAATCCAAGTTTATCATTTTAAAAGGCTAATTGATCATTAGAAAACCCTTTTGCAATTATGTTAGCACAGCTGTAAACTGTGCTGATTAAATAAGCAATAAAACTGGCCTTCTTGAGACTAGTTGAGAATCTGGAGCATCAGAAATTGTGTGTTCTATTACAGGCTCAAAATGGCCAGAAACAAATCAAGTTCTTCTGAAACTCATCAGTCTATTCTTGTTCTGAGAAATGAAGGCTATTCCATGCGAGAAATTGCCAAGAAACTGAAGATCTCGTACAACGCTGTGTACTACTCCCTTCACAGAACAGCGCAAACTGGCTCTAACCAGAATAGAAAGAGGAGTGGGAGGCCCCTGTGCACAACTGAGCAAGAGGACAAATACATTTGAGTGTCTAGTTTGAGAAACAGACGCCTCACAGGTCCTCAACTGGCAGCTTCATTAAATAGTACCCACAAAACACCAGTCTCAGCGTCAACAGTGAAGAGGCAACTCCGGGATGCTGACCTTCTAGGCAGAGTTGCAAAGAAAAAGCCATATCAAAGACTGGCCAATAAATATTAAAAGATTAAGATGGGCAAAAGAACACAGACACTGGACAGAGGAAGATTGGGAAAAAAAAGTGTTATGGACAGACGAATCGAAGTTTGAGGTGTTCTATTCACAAAGAATAACATTTGTGAGACGCAGACCAAATAAAAAGATGCTGGAGGAGTGCTTGATGCCAGCTGTCAAGCATGGTGGAGGCAATGTGATGGTCTGGGGGAGCTTTGTTGGTGGTAAAGTGAGAGATTTGTACAGGGTAAAAGGGATCTTGAAGAAGGAAGGCTATCACTCCATTTTGCAACGCCATGCCATACCCTGTGGACGGTGCTTGATTGGAGCCAATTTCCTCCTACAACAGGACAATGACCCAAAGCACAGCTCCAAACTATGCAAGAACTATTTAGGGTAGAAGCAGTCAGCTGGTATTCTGTCTATAATGGAGTGGCCAGCACAGTCACCGGATCTCAACCTTATTGAGCTGTTGTGTGAGCAGCTTGACCGTATGGTACGTAAGAAGTGCCCATCAAGCCAATCCAAGTTGTGGGAGGTGCTTCAGGAAGCATGAGATGAAATCTCTTCAGATTACCTCAACAAATTGACAACTAGAATGCCAAAGGTCTGCAAGGCTGTAATTGCTGCAAATGGAGGATTCTTTGACGAAAGCAAAGTTTGAAGGACACAATTATTATTTCAATTAAAAATCATTATTTCTAACCTTGTCAATGACTACATTTCCTATGCATTTTGCTATATTTCCATTTCAAACTCATTTCATGTATGTGTTCATGGAAAACAAGGACATTTCTAAGTGACCCCAAACTTTTGAATGGTAGTGTAGTCTGCGTCCCAAATGGCACCCTATTCCTAGGGCACTGTGTAGGGCATAGGGTGCTATTTGGGACGCGAGCCATTGTGGGGTGTATTCCATGCAGCAGCAGTAGACCCAGCCCAGGCAGCACTTTGCTTTCATCGGATCAGGAGAACTCCTTCCTTGTCTTCTGTATTATTTTATCCCTCCAGAGAGGTGCAGTCAATAATGCCATTCAGGCTTTCCCTTCGCAGATATGGCTGGGCTGAGGTGGAGTCGTGTCTCTCTCTCTCTCTCTCTCATTCAATCTGTTCCACGCGCAGGACTTTTATGAGCTTGATAACCAGATGCCAGAAAAAAAAAGCTTTGTGCCTCTTTCTCTCTCTTCCTATTGAGAAGGGCTCAGCCTAAACAAATCCCCATCGCATGTTTTGTAGGCAGAATACATCTGAGGCCAGTCATTAGAGAGCTGCACCATTCGTGGGGGGGGGGGCGTTCATCTACAATGGCAGATTGAATCTGAGAACAACCTCTCTGAATAATTAACTAATGTGGTGTCATTGGGATTACTTATGGTAGAGAGGGTTTAAGACAAGATGCCTTGATAAAGTTTTATTTTTTATAACATCCTTTTCTTTTGATATTAAATTAGCTCTAAACTGCTGGATGAGATATTATGTTGAAGATCAATGAAAGGCTTTGTGTTCGTGCGTGCGTGTGCGTTTGTCTGTGTGGACTCGTGGGTGTATGTGTCTAGCCATGTCTGATCCACCCCATTTTGTTAGTCCTGACTTTGGTTTCAATCTCCTTTGATGCGGTGTCATGGGGAGATGATGGTGCCATATGTACATATCTTAATGAGCTCAAATTTAACATATTCCAATATGAAGAGCTTTATTTGATTCATTAAGCCATTTGATCCATCCTTCAGGAGTAGGAGTGAATTAAACATCCTCATCTCGTACACTTTTCCCCAGAGAGAAGTAAATAGTTAGAAAATAGGGTAAACAATGTGGAGTCTGATATTCAGATCAAAGCCTGGCCAGGCCTTTCAGACAGTGTCCTAAACTGCACCATATTCCCTACATAGTGCACTACTTTTGACCAGTAGTGCACTATATAGGGAATAGGATGCCATTTGGGACATAACGACAGACTTCTGCTTGCCCTGAAGACAGACACGTTGTCCATCTTGTAAGAGTGGTGACCCTAATCAAGCCAATCCATCATCAGGGGGGCTAAAACATTTTCGTAATACCAGGATTACACATACATTTAGCATTAAAACACATCCCCTTAACGCTGGTGTTATCACTAGTCACGGCTCATGCTGCTACCATTACACTCAGGAGGTTAGCAAAGTCTAATTATTGTGCCTGGCAATTATTTTATTTATGGGCCCTAGTCAGAAGTACTGCACTAGGGAATAGGGTGCCATTTGGGACACAGGCACTGTCTCTCAAGTACTACTTGTGACCTATAGTCATATAGCCTATTAAAGCAGAACATCTTTCTTCGTACAGTTTGTCTGTGTGATGAAATGAGAAAGTGTATTTCCATAGTGGACTGGTTCCAGCTTGTTCTTGCTTGGTCTAAGTCTTCTGGCCTCCTTCTTTCTCATATGGACTGCAGCTACAATGGGCTGTGAAAACCAAACCTGTATGCCAAGCCCATAAGAAAATACTAAAGCTAAAATGACTAGGTTTGGATTCCATTTCTGTGAGTCTCTTCATTGTATACTAATTTTCTGTCACTTGTCAATCACAACTAACCACGAAAAATCGTAACATTCCGATATTTTGAGTTTAAAGCTAGAATCCTTAATTGAAACAATAAAAAAGTGTTCTCCCCAGCCCTGTTTCTCTAAAAGCTAAGGGACGGGGCTGGAAAAATGTAACGACTCTCAAATTCATAGACAGAGTTATGGATGCAAAGAATGACCATCCATGATATCAAATGTATAGTTCTAACCATGTTTTAAGGCTATACAGTGTTTGTGTACATTTACGGTGTTTACAAATATTGGAGTAAAACAAGCTTATATTTGGGGTTCTGATGTTCTACAGCAGTTGAACTAAGACATTTATAAATTATATTCTTCAATAATCAATGGGTATATATGATTCATTTATAAGTCCAAAAATGGATTTAGCAACTAAGGATTCTAGCTTTAATTGACATCCTCACTGAATAATAGCCAAACCTGCTTCAAAACAATACAAATCTGCCATCTGTGAATCACATTTGAACACTAGAACAGTAGTAATAGGAAACTGTAAAAGCACAATAGAACGTGTCAATGTGTCAGTGTTCAGTTCATTGACCATGTCTTCTCTTGGAACGGTGTTCAGTTGTCTTCCCTTTCACTGACACCTCAGCACTTTGACATTAGACAGAATAACATAACAGCCTACAGAGTTCAAATCTAGTACAATGCTGCAGTTCAAATGTAGTACAATGCTGCAGAAAATGCAGCCTTCGTTGATATTGTAGCGTGGATGAGGCAATTCAACCTCAAAATGCCATCCACAATGCCTGAGGACTACTAGGCTGAAGTTGCCCATAAACCCTGATCTGGGGTCAGCTTAACATTTTCCCCACTAATGGTTAAGGTTAGGTTTGGGGGAGGGGAAGCTGATCCTTGACCAGATACTCCACCTCAACAATGTGGGGAGGAGATTCACACCATTCAAGGCATGACCAATGACACACTATTAGCAAGGCCGTAACAATATTCTCATTGGCAAAACTACTGGAACTCTCACCTGTGCCACCTCCTCAAAATCGTCGTGGCGTTTCTGCAGTGCCCTGGCGCGGTGGAGGGACTTGCCCACGCCCGTGTGTTTGCTAAGGAAGGCCTCTCCATGGTTCTCTATCCAGTCCATCACCTGCACAAGTGACACAGAGAAAGACATGTTAACCAGTGTTCTGTTCAGCCCATGTTACTTCCCTCCCCCTGCCTCCAAAGGAGACAGACACATGCACGTTAACCAGTTTTCAGACCAGGTTACTTCTCCCCTCTGCCTCCAAAAGGAGACTAACGCATGTGTGGGCTTCAGGGCCAGGAATCTGTCACCACTGTCACTTTGTCACCCTATATCAGGACAGCAGTCCATCTTCAAGGAGAAAGAAGAGGAGGTTTTGTGAACTCCAAACCATGGAGGAAAGCAGAGGTAGTGTGCCTCGGAAATATTGTCTAGCTTCATTCTCTCCCTTTGCTAAGCTTTTACTTAGACTGGGAATACATTCATATATCTCGACAGCAGTCAAAGAGAAAGTAGCCAAATGTGCAGTGTGAAAGGTAGCCAAAAAGTGCAGTGAACTTTGCATAACTCCACTCTAGAGTCCCATTGCGTGACTATACATTGTCGGCGCAATAGCCAGTATGGCAGAATTTACAGTACTAAATGTTAATGAATAGATGAGAGGTCATAAGATGAGATCATCTGTGTTGATTTGTAAACAGTGTCTGGCTGAAACAGAGCAGAGCAGCACCCTGTGAAATATTTTCAAATAATTTCTCTGTGCTTAATTGAGCTTGCCTGGCGAGATGGAACCAATAGAATACTCCCAAAACTGTAAACCCCGCCCATATGGCACTCTAGGCAGGCTAGTATTCAAATAGTATTTGAACCCAGGTCGGTCTTTTGTTCTCTCCCTAATAACTCTCTCTACGGTCATTTCAAGGATGGAAAATCAAAGCTTGCCTGTCCTGCCCTACTTCAATTATCTTGTTATCCTGTGTTGTCCTCAAGTGTAGCCTCCCTGTCCTGATCGTGTTAGCTTGCCTGCGTGTGTGTATAGTCGGGAGGGGTCATCTGCTTGCATGTGAGTGTACAGGAATGTTTAATTAACTTGTCAGTGGGTGAGCAGACAACTCTTGTTTTGCCCTGACTGATTAGGGTTGCTGCATCCACAGGAACAAGCAGGAGTCTAAAACTAGCCTGGCTCGCTCGCTCACTCACACAAACACGGGAAGGGCTGAGAATAGAAGAGATATTTGCTGGGGATGAAATTAGCTGTCTGAGGATGCCATGCCTCGGACGGGAGTGTTACTTCTGGATTCTATGTCTGCATCCCAAATGACACCCTATTCCCTATTCCCATAGGGCTCTAGTCAAAAGTAGTGCACTATGTAGGAAATAAGATGCCATTTGGGATGCAGGCTATCAGTCTGGTGATGTCTCAGCAGTTACTTGACACCACAATGTTATTCTAGCAATGATGTTGAGGAAGTGGGCTGGAAATATTGGATTCAGTTTAATGTGGGTTCAGTTCCAAAATGAGGGCTCTGGTAAAAGTAGTGCACTACAGTATATAGGGAATAGGGTGTCATTTAGGACACAGCCTGTATTTGTGATGCTGCAGCAACATCCAGATTACTGACAACTCAGAGATGTTTCCTGGAAAAGTACAGTACATGATACGCCAGAAGACCGGCGCATTAAAACAAAGATGGCCTGGACAAAACCATAAAAGAAAACAGAGGAAGCATGAAAAACAGCAAACAAAACCACCGGACAACTATTTTCTTGATTTAAAAAAACTGGATGCCCATGGGAAAGAGGGGCTCTTGTGTGAACATTGTGGTGCTTAATGTAATCTCGGTCTAAATCTGTTAAATGTTACAGGCACACACACATATGATCCAAGCCCCTAAGGAGGCATTTGAAAAATGCACGGAAGAGGATGCCAAAAGTGCTTTTATTTTCACTCTTTTATTTTACTTTTGACAGTGTATAAGTGAAAGCAGTCCTGGTCACACTATTTGGATAGCCCGGATAGTCCATGTGTAGATGCGCTACAGATGGTCATACTATCAACAAACTATCTGTTGATAAGCAACTGCTTTCTAAGGTTATGGTTAAGGTTTAGAAAAAGGGTTAGGGTAAGGGTTAAGGCAGACCCGGCGCCAGGATAAAGTGACTAAGGGGGCAGTTGAAATCGGAAACGAGGCATTGGATTTATATTGAATTCTGCTTATATCACACTATACCACAATAAACAAAGTTCAAATGCAGAGACTCCGAGACCATTGAGTGCTTTTGAAGTGACAGGTTGGTGCGAAATCTGTAGCCTTTCTCCACTGCGCTGTATCAGTGTAAAATAGGGGCCTTCTGGCAGTCGTAAGGACAAAGATTCAGCAGGCAGGTAGCGGTGCAAATGAGTGCTGGATTTATTTACACAGCGCTGGTGTTTCAAAGATGACGGTGATATTTACAAATATATATACAGTGCCTTCGGAAAGTATTCAGACCCCTTTACTTTTTCCACATTTTGTTACGTTACAGCCTTATTCTGATATATATATATATATATATATTTACATTTTACATTTTAGTCATTTAGCAGACGCTCTTATCCAGAGCGACTTACAGTTAGTGAGTGCATACATTTTTCATACCGGTATGTGCGGTGCGCTTACAATCCTCAGCAATCTATACACAATAGCCCATAATGACAAAGCGAAAACAGGTTTTTGCAAATTGATTACAAATAAAAAACAGAAACACCTTATTTACATAAATATTCAGACCCTTTGCTATGATTCTCGAAATTGAGCTCAGGTGCATTCTGTTTCCATTTATCATCTTTGAGATGTTTCTACAACTTGATTGGAGTCCACCTGTGGTAAATTCAATTGATTGGACATGATTTGGAAAGGCACACACCTGTCTATTTAAGGTCCCACAGTTGACAGTGCATGTCAGCGCAAAAATCATGCCATGAGGTCAAAGGAATAGTCCGTAGAGCTCCGAGACAGGATTGGGTCGAGGCACAGATCTGGGGAAGGGTACCAAACAAATTCTGCAGCATTGAATGTCCCCAAGAACCAAGTGGCCTCCATCATTCTTAAATGGAATAAGTTTGGAACCACCAAGACTCTTCCTAAAGCTGGCTACCCGGCCAAACTGAGCAATCGGGGGAGCAAATAGTGCACAGAAATAGTGGAGAGAGACGTGCCTATAGCGCATCTTCACCACACACCCCTCCCCTTATTCTGGTCTCGACATTTTAAATGATGCTCGAGACACGTTCCTCACACATAAGCAGTAACCTCATAAACTTTGTCAGGACGAAGCAGTGGTCATCTTCCCTTCAACTGAAATCATTACGGTTCAGTATTTCGAACCCCCCCCTTAAACGCACACACAACCCAAACGAATGGACATGTGACAGCAAGGCAGAATGGCTCATTCCAAACGAGCACAGGGTACATATTGACCAACATGGTATGTCCATTTAGTGAATGTAGATTGACAGAGCAAATAAAGGAACATCATAGCAGTTGCCCCGAGGCAGATTAACACTTTGCCAAGGCCCTAAACACTGTCCACGAACCTTTTGGCAATGCAGGGGCACAAACTTCCCTGCTGTTTTGAATTAAAATAAAATTGTACCTACACATTGAAGAAGTCTGTAAAGCAGAAACATCTGATGCAGTGAAAATAATTTAAAAAATCGAATAATGAACTATGTTTTATGCAACATATTTTTGAGTGCGAACCCATTACATATTTTTGTCTCTCCAAGCTTGAGGAAAGGGTCAGAGCACACCCTCTCCCCTCCAGGCTCCGGAGAGAGCTCGGTCATATTCAATTCAGTGTCAGTCAATGTCGGGATGAAAACCTCACACACCCCATCATAGGGCAGACACTCCTGCAGAGCGCCCCCTATAGGAACAGCCGAGGAGCAGGAAGGAGTAGGTTCAGCCTCCAACATGGAGTCCTCACCAGGGCCAAACTGGTTAACTAGACTCTGCCCTTATAAATCAAAATAAAATATTACAGGTGAAGGCGTATCACATTCACTTAGCCTATCACAGAGATGACAAGCGTTTTTCCCCAGTTTTTATGGAAACCCAAAAGAGTCATACCTAACCGCCCTACGCACACTGCAGCGTGCTCTGTCCATTGTGCTGATGCAGCGCAGCAGAGATAGATTTTTTTTGCACCAACCTGTCACTCAATAATTTTTGCTATTTTTATATGGACATAAAACTAAAACTGAGGGGGCTAAAGTTTGAACTGAGGAGGCTAAGTCCCCTTTAGCCCTCTCGTGGAGCCGGGTACGAGTTAAGGTTAGGGCTAGGGTTAAGATTAGGATAAGGGTTAGGTTTGGTAGATAGCAGTGGAGGCTGCTGAGGGGAGGACGGCTCATAACAATGGCTGTAACGGTGCAAATGGAATGTCATCAAACTCATGGAAACCATATGTTTGATGAATTTGATACCATTCCACATATTCCGCTCCAGCCATTACCACGAGCCCGTCCTCCCCAATTAAGGTGCCACCAACCTCCTGTTGAAATGTTACTTATAGTCTGTAGATACTCTGTAGATGGACTATCCAAATAAAATGTTACCACAGTCCTCAGTTTCTGGCTTTATGATGGCCACAGAAAATAAAAAACAGAGTGCGTCCCAAATGGCACCCTGTTCCCTATATAGTACACTATTTTTGACCAAATCATCTACGGGCCCTTGGACGCAGCCAGAGGCATTAAAACCTAAAGAAAATACCTACATTTTTAGACATACAGTGGGGAAAAAAAGTATTTAGTCAGCCACCAATTGTGCAAGTTCTCCCACTTAAAAAGATGAGAGGCCTGTAATTTTCATCATAGGTACACGTCAACTATGACAGACAAATTGAGAAAAAAAAATACAGAAAATCACATTGTAGGATTTTTAATGAATTTATTTGCAAATTATGGTGGAAAATAAGTATTTGGTCACCTACAAACAAGCAAGATTTCTGGCTCTCACAGACCTGTAACTTCTTCTTTAAGAGGCTCCTCTGTCCTCCACTCGTTACCTGTATTAATGGCACCTGTTTGAACTTGTTATCAGTATAAAAGACACCTGTCCACAACCTCAAACAGTCACACTCCAAACTCCACTATGGCCAAGACC